TTTCATTAGTTTCATTAGTTTCATTAGTTCCAATTCCTGTATTTCCTTCATTTCCTGCATTAGTTCGTTCCATCTTGCTTAACTGAACACAGCCCTGACGTTTTGTTCCGCATTTAAAAGAGAATTTAAAAAAGAATCTTAAAAACACCGAAGGATAACACAGAAGTGCGCGCACGGAACGAGCTGATAATTTGCGATCTAATCTGTCGCGGTGGAAAACCGCAAGATCGATAATTTACGATACACGCATGAAAGTACATATCTCGAGGACGGCGCATTTAACTATAATCGTTAACTTAACGGAGACTATAATACTGTTTACAATTCGCACGGGACGTGAAAGTTATCACCGACTCTGTGAAAACTCGCTCGGGCGGCTGGAAATCAAATCGCTTTTACCGGAAGTAAATCCGCGCGATGATAACGGCGCATTATAAATGCGCGCGAAGAAATGTAGTAGTGTGAGTGCACCGACGAGTTTGAAAACTTCGAATTTTTTAAAGGGCGAGAAAGAAAGTGCAAGAGAAATTACAAACGCATATAATTACGCGTCGATATAAATATAATTCGAGAGATTAAAATTAATTATATCAAAACAAACTGAAGTAAAAAAAATCGTCACGAGACAGAAATGCGCAAAGCGTCGAGCGTGTCGTGTATCATCCGTGTCGCTGCGAATTCAACGCGGCCTGTGTTCAACAAAACGCACTTATAAATCTTGAGCACGCTCGTTACCTCACTCGGACAAGCGGCAGCGGCGATGCAATTTATTCGAGAAACTGGATTAAACGGAGCGAGAAAGTTCCGTTGTCGTCGTCGTCGTCGTCGTCGAAAGTGTCTCGGATTAACATGCGTGTCTGCCTTGGTCCGACGTTGTCCTTGGATGTTCCGAGAAGAAACACGATCGGACCTTGTTTCGCGCAGGAACTTCGAGAGAGTAACTTCTCTCATTGATTGTCATGTTGAGTATATTTGCTGCGTTATGTCCGCCGCGCTGTAGTACTTGATGAATATTCGCGTATCCGAATAATAATCTATCGAACACATTCATGTGTTAAAAACAAACGCACTTTTTCTGCTTTTTTTTTGCAGTCTGACAGCAATTTGACACCTGTCAGATCATTTTTGCCAAATAATCTAAATCTAATTTTATTAGTTTTTAATTATTGGTTGAATAATTACAGAAACTTTCTACTGAGATTTCTCTGCGAGTTTTATAAAGATATTACTTTGTTTTCCTCACACGTTTTAGACTTTTCTCAGTTCTTCCCTTTTGAATGAGAGATTTTGGTTGTTTAACGAAAAAAAAAAAAAATAAGCAAGCGACATTTCGCGAGAAATGTGGCGAAATGCGTTGCGAAAGCCGGTGCGACTTTCTTACGTGACGAATCGTAACCGCCGCCGCGCGCGCCGGAAATGGATGGCATGAATGTAAGTCAAATACGGCATGATCCGATTTATCGATACAACATGCGACCTTTTGCAATGATATCGCAAAAAACCAGATCACCTCACGTGTGTATCCGAGTTAAAAAAAAAAAAAAAAAAACGCGTAGAGCAAGAAAAACCGACATTCTGGCGCAAATTTTCTACGAACATAAATCTTGGAAAATTTATACCGTTTCGTCCAAATAAGGAACACGTTGATCGTATATCTTTCGGTGAAATCTTAATTGTGTATTATCTCCGCGCGCACGCGCATTGCTACCGCGATATTGTAAGATGGTAATCAACGAGAGATAGAAGATGCAATTAAATTCATTAATTCCCATGTAATTTCTAGGTAATCTAGATAAGTTCCTTTTACTTTGTTCAAGGGAAACCAGGAATTTAAATTCATGCAATTTCTATAGCACATATACATATAAAAATAAAGTGTAATTTCTAAAAGAAATTTTACCCGTTTTTAACAACGTTACACCCCACGCAAAACAATTTTTTTTATACAATTTTATACAATTTTATACAATTTATATAATTTATATATACGAATCTTCATTAAATATTTATTAGATATCACATGGAGTTACGGATATCTAATGAACGTTATGTCCGTGTGGGACGTTACCTAATTGCAAATAAAAAATATTTTACAAACAATAGAGAAGTGAGAAAAGAAATGCGAATAAATTAGAAAATACTTATGTAATAAAAAAAGTTTCATTGTAATTTTCATTACATGTATTAGACACATAAAAAAATAACACACATAACAAATTCTTGTTCTGTGCGTAAATTCCAAGACTGTCCCCGGTTTTATTTTGCCACTGTTTTTGCTCAATTTATCGTAATTTTGCATAAATAATTCGCGTCGACGAAACAGCGATAAATTATTAACCGATCGACCGTTGTGTCCGCGTGTCTCTCTTTATAACGGGAAGGCGCGAAGAAATCTCTCGAAGAGGGTGTCCCGACGAAATGTGAGTCACGCGACACTCGCTCGGGAAAGCTCGACCTTCGTCCCTTCCCCGTTATTTCAAATATATCGCGCTGCAAAAGTCTCCCGCCGGCGGCGTGGCCTTACGATTATCATTATAACCACGTATCCGCAGCCGCGTGTAATTATTATTATGGTCGACCACGTAGCCGACCGGTATTCTGCAAATCGCGCGACCATGGCCGGCCGGCACACGCCGGCTGCGTACGAAAGCAGTTCGACGAATTTATCAATATGCAAATATCACCCGCACCTTCTCTCCCCTTGTGCAATGTAATTACCGCATTGGGAGAATCGCTTTGTAGAAGAATGAAATTCTCTCTCGTTTTGTTCCCGCGAACGACGTTATAATCTCTCGAGAAACGCTTCCCGAGGATTCCGAAGGATTCCAAATCGTAGAACAGCTCGAGCTACGATTTTACTTTGCCAGTAAAGATAATTCTTTTTTTTTTTTTTTTTTTTAACGAGGATAAAAGTGTTTTACAAAGAGGATTAAAATGTTTTACAAACGAACGGAAGATCTTTCGAGGCTCGAATCTTCCTTTCTCTCGCATTCCTAAAAACGACTTCGCGGGCAGTCGTTGTCGTTTTTCTTCTCTCGAAATTCTGCGATTCTCGCGAAAAAAGAGACAAAACGGGGTGTTTCGAAGCCCGTGGAAGTGCCGCGCGGCAAAATCGGCCGGAAAACCAGTTCGGCTCCGAAACTGGTCGCGCGACAAAATATAACGCCGATGCAGGAAGAGAGAGAGAGAGAGAGAAAAAAAAGAACGGATCGGTAGACGGCGAAAAACGAAAGTTATTTTAACGATCTAAAGATAATTGAAGGAAGAGAGAAGAGCAAATAATTCAAGCGAGATTACCAAGTAGCGACAGACGCGCAATTGGTATCGCGTTATTGCGCGCGTTTCGCGCGTGAATTCTTTTTCATTCAAAATTCTGAACACAGAACAACTTGGAAGAATGGAATCATCGTCGAGAACGCACGAGGTGTGTATGTCACTTCATTCCGTAGATCTTTCTCGTAACACGAAGAAAAAGAAAGATAGCAGAAGGACGGTGAAATAGCAGAGAGGAGGAGAGAAAGGAATGGGGATATCTCATCATCGCGGGGCGAGAAAGACAAAAAAGACAGACAGTTCTCCGGGTGAGACAGAGAAAATATAAGAAAAGTAGAGAGGTGCACCTCTTCTCCGAGAAAGAGGTGATAGCCGTAGGAGGTGGTAGCCGTGGACACGTGACCAATGACTTATATAAAGGTGGCGAACGACGGGGTCCAAACACAGAGTTCTGTCTTTCAGCGCAGCGAAGGCGGTGTTTGTACAAAAGTGTCTGTTTTTTTTTTCGTTAATCATTTCGCTCCGCGCCACAGTTAAACCATGAGGACGTACTTCGTAATAGCCGCCATACTGATCGCCGGTACGTAAAAAAAAAAAAAAAAAAAACAAACAAACAAACAAACAAACAAACAAAACAGAACCGTCGAGGGTATATGATAAGGGTAGTGAAGTTGAAAAGATCGCGAGTGAGACGCGATAATATTCGGACGATATCGCGAATGTAGAATGATGATGAGTATAGAAGTGAACGGGGAAATTTTTCATCGTCAGTGTGTGATTGTTATGCGCGTGTGTAGAACACACATGTAGAGGATAGTGCGCCTTTTACGTGCATCGGCGAGCGGGTCGTGATCGGGACTGAGATTTTTACGTCGCAACGAGAAACCCGGAGATGGTCTTTGATGGCCTTTCTCGAAATCACGTGTTGCGCGCGACCACAAGTTTTCGACTCTCATCGGGAGAGAATCGCTTCGTTGCAATTATTTTAATTAATAGAGTTTGAAATTTTTTGGAGATTATAAAAAATGATTACGTAAATGTTATAAGAATGTGTTTCCACACATAATTAAAGTGACACAGTGTAGAAATGTACATACAAATTTTTTTTTCTATGTGAAAAAATTGAGAAAAAATTCTAATTAGAAACAGTGTAAAAAATAGATTTTTTTAAAAATGTGCACACAATACTTTCTGACAGACGTGTGTGTCTGATTGACATAAAAAATTGATCTCTCTAAATTACTTGCATTTAATGTGCTTAGAGATGTGTGTCAATTGTGTGTCTATTTTCTCACGTTTTTTTAAATATTCTTTACGAGTTGATGAATTCTATAAAAAAAAAGTAACTCTTAGAAGATAATCATATCAGAATTTTAAAATTGTTTAAGTATCTCCAAAATTTCTCTTGTTATCAATTACATGTAGTATTGCCACATGTGTTTTGTAGAAACGTAAATATTACTAAATAAGGATGTGTGTACAACACACGTGTGCGCCGGAACAATTTCTCAATGAGAGAGAGAGAGAGAGTTGACGATTTTACGGTCGCTTTAATTAACACCTCGTTGTAATTAAACATCTCCGTGGCCTAAAAACTTTACCATTTGCTACGCTTTCTTATTTGCGGCTGCGATATAACCTTGGCCCCGATCTTGAAACCTTTCTTTTCATTTTGTTCTTATCAAAAAAAAAAAAAAAAGATTCAAAGATCATGCTTATAACGCGACAAAAATTATTATTACAAATTTACTGCTCAGTCATTCGTAAATTGACATATAAATTTTGCGCGTATAAAATCAAGTCTGTTAAAAAAAATCACAATTTTTAACAAAAAAGTATTTTTTTTTACGATACCAATAATAGTTCTCGAAATAGAAAAACATTGTGCGAGAAGAATGTCGAAACAAATCTTGAAATATATTCACGCGAGAAACGCAAGTCGAAGCAAGTTGTCAGTCCGGTATGATAAAATTCGCGAACTTACTTTTTCCGATATGGAAATTTCTCACTTCGCCATGTAATTCGGATGCTTTATATAATCGTACTGTGTGTGTGTGTGTGTGTGTGTATGATCTAATTACATAACAATCTAACACCGTATATTTCGCGAAACAAGTCAAACGCGAACGAAACTCGCTGTAGAACGAGGAAGGGAGCGCGAGGCCTCGTCCGCGGTCCCCCTGAATATTTCGAAGTCGCTTTCGGGACCAGTCCCGCGGAAAACGAAAGTGAATACTATATAGCTGGTTCTCCACGCACTCATGTACAGGGGGACTCGCATTGACAAGAGACGTGAACCGGGTGAACGGGATGCTGGCAGGGCCCCAGTCACGGACCGAGGCCTGGCTGCGGGCCCAAAGTGAAAGCGCCCGGCGAAAGTTACCGTCCCGCGCACAGCCCCCTTACATAAGACATTTTAGCTTATTCAGACGCCGCCGTGCGCCGTGAACAAAAAAGAGAGACGTAATTAGGCGCAATTAACACAGGGACCGGCGTGAAAAAGTAGCGCAAAGAGGGAAAAGGGTCTTGTCTGTTTACTTGTTTTTCCTGACATTTTTTGCTCGCTTCATTGTTTCGCGATCCGCGTCAGAAAAGAGAGGGATGGAAACCGGAACAGAGAGGAACTTCTTTTTTTTTTTTTTTCCCTCGCGAGGTCAGCGGTTAATTTTAGAGTTCGTGACTTTCTACGAGAAATGATGAGGATTATCGCGCCGAAGGCGGAGTCGCTCGCAACCGCGATTTCAGGAACGTAGCGCGAGTTTCAAAAGTAAAAGAAAGTCTCGCGCTCTTTCCGACTTTCTGCAAAAGATCGCGGAATCAAGTGCCATCTGCGCTTTCCTCATGGCGCTTCTCTATTCCTTGAATTTCAATTGAATTGAAGGAACTTCGAATAAAATCTGTGAATAAAAAAAAAAAAAAAAAAAAAAACAAATTTCAACTTGATCGTTTCAGGAACGAGCGCTCAGGAGAGCTTCAAATGCCCGGACGACTTCGGGTTCTATCCTCATCACATATCGTGCGACAAATATTGGAAATGCGACAACAACGTGGCGGAGCTGAAGACGTGCGGTAACGGTCTTGCGTTCGACGCCAGCGACAACAAGTTCCTCACCGAGAACTGCGATTATCTGCACAACGTGGACTGCGGCGAGCGCACGCAGCTCGAACCGCCCATCAGCACGCCGCATTGCTCCCGTTTGTACGGCATCTTCCCCGACGAGAAGAAGTGCGACGTCTTCTGGAACTGCTGGAACGGCGAGGCGTCCCGCTACCAATGCAGTCCCGGATTGGCCTACGACCGTGAGGCCAGGGTGTGCATGTGGGCCGATCAGGTGCCCGAGTGCAGAAACGAAGGTATCGATTTCGGTCCGAAACTAATTCGAAGATACGAGATCGCGAATTGCTCGATTAAACAAATGTCTCAACACCCGATTATTGATTTATTCTCGTCTCGAGGTTCTATAAAAAAAAAAAAACGATTCTAACAATTCAAAAAAATCTAACGTTGAATTTTAAATAAATATTTAACATTTCTGTCTAATAGTGGAGTTTTTCCAATTTTTCTGCGAATTAAATAATAATATCGTTATAATTTCTCTTCGAGGTTCTCTTGCGTCACTGTATTACGATTTTAAGATCGAGTCGCGCGTTATAACAAAGAAAGATCTGAGCGGATTATTCCTGGTCCAGTCACCCAGGAACTCGTCACGGTCGATTTGACGTCGATAATAGGACATGTATATAGAATGTGTACACCGCGTCAAACCGATTCGCAAACTCGCCTCTCTATTTCAAAACGGTGCGCAATCAACACACAAAACTGTTTCCGTCTTCTCTTTTTACCTACTTACATCTAATTTTTTATTTGTTACATTGTCTAAAATATTTTCATACAAATGTTTTGCAGTTCTATGCGTCTATTTATCGTAAATATATCAGCGGTATTATTTTAAATAAACGCATTGTCACAAGAGGCGAGGCAGTGCGCGCGAGACCGACCGTGACTCACTTACGCGAGACGGACATTTCAGCCGAGTTGAGATTTTTATATCGATTGAACCGATTAAATATTCTTAGCTAGTCTCTCAATATCGCGAAAGGTTTTACATACATTTGCATACGCAATCTTGATGGACAAGAAAGAGAAGTTTTTCTTTCTCCGTGTCCTATATAAAACGGAAATACACAACGAAGATGTAAATTCATGAATATGAACATTTTTTAATGTTATTTATACTCGCGAGATCTCGCGAGATCGGTAAAGCACACAATTACGCGCGTTGACTTTCTCTCTCGATATATATACGTATCTTATATATTTATATCTGCGTCTTTCGCGCAGAGGTCGCCGGAGGTTTCACGTGTCCGGCCGCGGGCGAAGTGAGCGGCGCATCCGGCAGCTTTAGCAGACACGCCCATCCGGAGGATTGCAGAAAGTACTACATATGTCTCGAGGGTATCGCCAGGGAGTACGGTTGTCCGATCGGCACCGTCTTCAAGATCGGCGACGCCGACGGTAGCGGCGCCTGCGAGGATCCCGAGGACGTTCCCGGATGGTGAGCATAGAATTTTTTTGAGATACGATTCTATCACGTCGCACGCGTCGACAATGCAAAGAAAAAGTCTCGACAGTTATTGTTTTTTTTTTTTTTTTTTTAAGAAAACAATAGTAGGAGTATAAATGACTAGAGATTTAAAAAACAAAAAAACTACACACTTTACACAGAGAGTCAAGTTTCGCAAACGCGAAAATTATGTCACAGTTTTCGAAACGAATTTTTCTTCTAAGTTTTCTTCTTGCACAACTGTGTGTGTGACCTAGTTTCGAGACGATTATTATAAATGTTACTACTACGATTATTATTCGTGACTTTAATGAGGACAGATAATTCCCATATCGAGATCAGAAATCTGTATTTTCTGATTACGCGCGAACAGAGCGAATGAACGACCGAGGGTTCAAGGATCAAGATTTTCCGTCGAGAAATAGCGATCGTGAGAATCGCAACAGCCAATAGAGTTTCTGTGCAAACTGAGATTGTTCATTAACAACATTAAAAATCGATTAAGTAGATTTTTCGATGAAAAACCAACATTAAAAAAAACTAATAAAAAACAAACATTTCTTGATCGAATTAACGAAATAATCTGCGAAAAAAGATGCGGCAAAAAGCGCGACGAAAAGTCGGCCGCAGTGCGCAACTCAACGAGAAGGTGTGTTATTCAACGAATTGCGGGTATTATGAAGATCTTCGATTGTCTCGATAATTGTACAATCCGTGAGGAAAACTTTCGAGCTTGTTCGATGAGGAATCGTGTTCGAGGAGCTTTCGGAAGAAATTATCGTTCGCGCGGACGATCCTGTAATTAAGGAAATAATTCACGTTGCAGAACACGCCTTCGCGGCGGTTAATGACGTTTTGCGCAACCGTAATGTAAAAAAAAAAATAACAGCCAAACGGAAATTGTGTATGCAAGTCGCAAAAATTGAAGAATCGCTCCGCCATGTGAACTAACTTCTTTTTTTTTTTTCTGTGAAAGTCGAACAAACGCTTAATTAGCACGCGATGTTTATCGAACAACAGATACTTAGTATCCGTGTTGGTTAGTAACACAATGACGATGTTTATTAATAATCTCTTCTAACTTTGTGGCTAACCTACATATATATGTTAACTCTGTGTCTCTGCCATCTCGTTCTAATATCCTCTGTTACACCATTAGTCGTTTCCTTTCGGAAATTGCCAAACAGACTGCAATTTAGAATTAACCTTTCCGCAAAAACAAAAAAACAAAAAAAATATGACATATGTATCTCAACGTTTTTTGTTTTCAATATGCAAACTGTTACAGCAATCGATATCTATCAATTGTGCTTAGCGATTCGCAACGATCTTGGTCACGAAAATTTGCACACACAGACATTTCGCTTTTTTTTCACGTACAAACAATTCAAGAAATAATTTTTGTTTAACGTAACTACAATGTTATTAATCTTTTTTTTTAAAAAATCTGTCTCTGCAAGTTTTCTGAAACTATGCTCCGCTCTTTATGTGTATCTTCTATATGTGCATCTTTGTTCGCAAGCATAACGATAAGAGCACCGCCATTTACGCAAAGTAGCGCGCACCGCGTAGCATGTGTCCTGACCCCCGGGTTTTTCTCGGTTTTGCTTCACAGTGAGGATTACTACGGTGACCTGGACCTGAAGAGCATCCGGAAGAGCGAGCTGCTTACCGGTATCCAGAGCGAGCCCAGAAAACCGAATCAGGCGGTCCTGAAACCCAGGCCCACAACAGTGGGAGGGCCCGCGAGGAATCCTTCCTCACCCCTTCAGGAATAAATCCTGAATTTTACCTCGCTCTTTCCTTTCTTCACTCTTCACATCTCTGTGTTTTTCTCTTTTTTCTCTTATACTTCTCCTTTCTTCGTTGCTATCGTGTAATTACTTATTTTTATTGAATTCTACTTTTTTGTTTTGTAACTTATTGTTACAGAATTACGAAATATAGAGATCTTCTAGAGATTGAAATGTAGTTCTTTACAAACGTGAATTCTACTTATGTTTAAAAAAAAAAAAATAACAGATTTTCATGATTTTTATTAAAATTCAATAAAGATGTCGTTTCCTTTTTTGTTCCTCTTTTAACTTATTGCGATTGTTCGAATTTATATCGCAAATATAATATATTTTTATCAATAAATTGTATCAAATACTTTCTTGCTCGCTATTTTTTTCTCTGTCTTCTCGTACTCTACTTTTTCTTACTCTTTTTTTTCTTTTTCTCTCTTTCTCTCTCCCTCTCTCCCTCTTTTGCTATATATACACATACACAGAAATCTAAGAAAAATGCAGTACTGATTACGTAGATAAATTTCAAAATACACGGAAAATACACGCGTTATTTGTATAGAATATAAAATACAGAAAGAATAATTATAAAACGTTTTTTTAAAAAAAAAAAAAAGTATATAAAACCAATACGATGTAAATTCTTTTTGACAAATGCTCAAAAGTACTGATATTTCTAAAAAATTGATATTAGTTGTAATGTCTTGTATAATTATATTTATATATTAAGTATAACGATTGTTTTTTTTTTTTTTTTTCAATAGATATACGAAAACATAATTTCGTCTCTTCTAAATGCTATCTCTCTCTTTATTATCTCTAATCTATCTTTTTCTTTGCCCATTAATTAATTTTTCTTTTTTAATTCTCTTACCGTTCTCTTTGTGCTGCGAAAATAGACGTTAAAAAAAATGTTGTAACAACAATAGAAGTAATGAAAATTTTTCTGCATGTAACAATACGAAGAAGAATTTAAATTAACGAGAATCACATCAGTTGTTAATTCTCGCAGTGCAAAACACATAATTAAAACGACAAAGTCAGCAGCAAAAGTTGTGTCGAATTTGTTTATTTACGCACGGAATCAGAACTCGGAGATTTATACGCCATGAATTTTCATTCGATAATCTTTCCGATTCTTGCCGCCAATGTGTGAGCAAAGTTTCGGTTTGTCATGTAGTTTTAAGTATAAAAAGTTCGTGTAATAAAAAAGAAAAAAAAACATTCTATAAAGAGATTTTGACTTCTATTATTTTTTTCACCGCATTTTTTCTACAATCCTGTTCTGTGACTAAAAGAAATATGTTAAATATCATATATTTTCGATTTAATAAGTATGTGTCAATTTTAATTATATTAATATATTTATAGAATGCCAGAATATATTTACGACCACGTTGAACGCGTGCGGTAAGAATGGAGCAATTATCTGATAATCGTAAAATTCTCGACCTCTGATCATACATACACTTGTACAGTTACTAGTTTCTTAGCACATTCTCTGTGTACTCACCATGTTGCATGTTTGAAAAGCTATATACTCCAATAATAATGTATATATATACATACACAATAACTCTCTCTCTCTCTCTCTCGATCACACAATGTACATAATATGTCGCAATTGTGTCGGCTAAGAACTGGAATACTTGAACACGCGCGCTGATTGTTTTCTGACGAATTAATTTTCTACTCGCGAATCACATAACCGATCAACATCAGCGTGTACAAAACGAAAAGAAAAACAAACTCACCGATTCGACGATACTGCTTTCGCTGTACTGCTTTCCCGCGCTTTGACCGCTCCATCGACGAAGTTTTACTCTCGTTGACTCTCGGTTTCCACTTTCTCACGTACTTATTTAACATCCGATCAATCGCGCCCGCGATAACAATCGAACTTTTACACCATATAGTTTTATTTTTTACTCCCGATATTTTTTGCACACACGACGTCGTCGTTCGAAACTCTCGCGCTAACCGGAACACGTGTTTGTGCGCGCGCGAGAGAAAAATACGCGCCCGCAAAACGCCATCACGACCAATGGACGACGACGATTCAAAGCACTCGGCGACAAATGGCGGCAACACTGGCGCATGCGCGCAACTTTACTCGATTTCGAGGCAAAGACGAGAGTTAAACGATATTTTCGTACATTTCTCAGCCAAGATTACTACGGCAACGTGGATCTGAAGGCATTACGCAAGCTGGGCTACAGAAAATAGAAGAGTTCGCACGTGCGACGAGCGTTGCTCACTCACCGACGATCGGAACAACGCATCCTCCCGCAGGAAGACCAAAACGACGCGATCGCTTCTCCTCTTCTTGCAGTTTTCAACTGCAGTTTAAAACAACCGCAGCAAGACGAGCTTCCTGTCAAACACACACACACACATGTTCCATATAATTATTAATAAAAACACAACGACATTTTTTTTAGATCATTGTCGTAACAAGCGCCATGTAAATAAAATCAAATCGTTTGCAAAGATATTTGAAATAAATATGTGTTAAAAGAGAAGATATTTGTGTTTTGTTCTTTGTCCCAACAATTGCAAATAAAATCGTCGATCTTAAAAATCGATTCGATTATTTGTGTGATTAAATTAGTTTTAGCGCGCTCATTATTTAGAATCGCTCAGTTTTTGTTGCGTATATGAGAAAAGTATATATTTATATAAAATAAAACTATTGAAATAACAAATAACTACTGAGTTTCAACAACAAATAACTAGAATTATAAACGTGTACTTACAAAAGTGAAGTAATACTTCAATAAACAATAAATAATCGACCGCGCAAGTTAATCGTTAACCGGAGATCGCGAAACTGACTCGTTTGCTTGTCGCTCGTTCTTTTCTTCGACCTCATTTACAACGGCAAGCTATCGCGGAAACTCGCAGAATCGATCAATCGCGAGTTCTACGACTGCGATACGAGATTAATCGATTAATGCAGATGCGGCTTAATGTTTTGCTTTTGCGGTCTTTGCTTTTCACGTTATTCTTACGGTACTCCGCGACACCCCCCCCCCATGGATGAAAAAATACCGGAAAACCGTTAAAAAGCCAACTTTTTAAACGTGCGAGTCTTTCTGACATGTGAGTTTTTACGATTGTTTTTTTAATTGCCAGCCGAGACAACGCCGATAATAGCATTTCGAAAAAACTAACCGCATTGTCTACGTTAGTGATCAACAAATTCTTTTGAAACTTTTTATCTCACGAGATTTTATCAAACTCTTCTAGTTACGTTTTTTTTTTCCTTACATTTTCTTTGCACTATTTTTTTTTTTATTTGCAAAACGCACAAACGTTCGTATATTTAAAACGAATACATGCATTTTAATTTAAGCAAGAAGTTAAAAAGAAAAATTTCAATGTAGACAATATTGAAATACTTTTTATTATTATTTGTTTATTTGAAGCATTCACTTTGGTTAATGTACAACAATAACAAGAAGAATAATGTCACAAACAGATACAATAGAAATCTTATTACATGTAAGAGAAAAATATTAAAAGTTCAAAAATAAGATTGCTGAAAAAGATATCTGCTAATGTTGATAAATAGAATTGCTTGTAATTTGAAGGTACATTATAATGGATGAAAAACAAAGTAATTTTACAAAGCAACAGAAAGTGAAAAAGTACAATGAAAAACTGATTTCTGCTGATTCAACACACGACATAAACAAATTGTTTGAGAAATACTTTGTAATTTCAAATGCAGAAAAAGACTCAGAATCATACACATTACCCAAATCAGAATTTATGTTCAAAGAGCCACCATGGTCACTTGATAGTTTGCAAAAGTTAAAAAATGATCTGAATCAAGTAAAGAGTTGCCTGAATGATTTCAATCTGGATGAATGGCACAAGCACACAAATCAAATGAACAAAGCAGGTAGTGTGAAATATATTGTGAAAAAATACATAAATCCAGAACTGTTGACTCAAGCTTGGCTCAAGTTTTACGAAATTGCCAGTAAATTCCCACTAGTACCATTGAACGAGATCTGTCATGAGAACCTGCCGATCACTGCAGGTTCCTTCAGATCTGTACATTTGTGCGAGGCACCAGGTGCTTTTGTTGCTGCTCTGAATCATTGGCTGGCAACAAATACCCACAATGTGAAGTGGGACTGGTTAGCCAACAGCTTGAATCCTTACTGGGAGGAAAATCCTTACGAATGCATGATCGCGGACGACAGATTTATCAAGCACACTCTTCAGCACTGGTGTTTCGGTGAGGATAACACAGGCGATATCATGAAATTGAACAATCTGGACGATCTAGTGAAGAGAGTCAGCTCATTCGACGCAGACAAACGGCTCTTGCTGGTCACCGCAGACGGCAGTATAGACTGCACGAACGTACCGGAAGAGCAGGAGAGCATCTTGGCACAGTTGCATCTGTGCGAGACTGTGGCTTGCATGCACATTCTACAGAAAAATGGAAACTTTTTGCTGAAACTCTTCACTCTGTTCGAGCATCAATCCGTGTGCCTCATGTACTTGCTGTCTTGCGCTTTTCATGAAGTCACTGTGATAAAGCCAGCCACCAGCAAAGGAGGGAACTCGGAGACATATGTCTTCTGCCGCAAATTCAGAGGCAAAGATTACATGGCAGCGCACTTGGACATTCTCAGGCAACACTACGGCAAAGCGCCACCTGAAAACGCGATGTTCAGTCAAAAGGACATTCCGCAGAGTTTTGTGCAAAGGATTGAGGAGTGCAGCGTATTCTTCAAAAATCATCAATGTCATATCATAGAAGACAACATAAAAACGTATCACGCAAAGAACTACAACATTCTGTTTAACGTCAAGCAGTTGGTTGCTATGCAATATATTAGAAATTGTAAATTAGACGGTCCTTTAAATGACTCGTCTTCGATAGTCGGTTGCAAGAAAATAAAAAAAGTACCACCAAGTTGGCACACGTATAAAAAGTTACACGTTGAGTCTTACAACGAACGTTGTCAGAGACACAATTTAGAAGAGAGTTTATTACTGCTGTGGAAACAGATAGAATGGATCAGTTTCCCAACAAATCTTAGATCTTACACCGTAAGCAAGTTTCTCGAGCCAAAACTAAATAGTAAGGTCTTAAAGAAATTAAAAAATGTCTTTATTTTTTTGCATTTTCTAAAAAAAAAATATCATGGGGATGGAGGTATTTACAGCGCACTTAATTTTTTTTTTTTTTTTATAGTGGCGTCTGCGAATATTACCGGAAAGCGTAGAAATTCAAACGGGGAAATCGTTCACGAAAGTACGCAGTTCGCGCTTTTCTGACGTGCAATGTCTTAACGTATTAAATACCCTCGACACGATAATTGTACGAGAGACTGGTACTACCATTTGCTTTCCATCCGCAAACCTTACGAGAGAACAGCAAGAGGATCCGAATCAAGAGATATTGAACTTTCAATTTGTCCCCGTCTTCGACAATCATAAGACGATAATCGAAATTTGCGATCGGTTTAAGAAACTTCGAACCGGACAAGCTCTCACTCTTGTAGGCTACTCTCTGTTAACGCAGTTAAATGTTGGTCTGTTATATCTTCTGGGAAATTGTTTCGACAAAGTCGTTGTAACAATTTGCGACAACGAGGGCTATCACATCAGACTGGAAACTTACCAGCCTAATGAAAAAGTATCGAATATTCTGCATGAAATTCTCGCTATTTCAAATAGCGAACAAAATAAACATAAAGCGGTTTGGTCGATAATTCCTGGAATACTTTTAGAGGGTAAGATTCATAAAGATATAAGAGTAAGAGGATGTCTGTCTTACCTAAATGTGATTTGTATAAATATCGCGCGTATATATTAAGTTTTTTACATAAATTATTCGATATAAGAGACACAATTAACAAAACGATTTAAAAACTTCAAATTATTTGTTTTCTTTACAAGACTAACAGTGCGTACTGCAACAGAAAATAGAGCATGTATTACAGCACGGTTCGTATTTGACAAATATTTTTTTTCAGAATGTGACGAGTTTCCTACTATAATGGAACTTAATCATCTGATGATCAAGAAGTACCTTGAGCATGTTATGAAGAAATGTAAAGGACAAGATAAAATAATAATTTTTACGTGAACATGTGATACACAATTTTACATAGGTATATACATGTATATGTATGAGAAAAGGAATATGTATTTATATAATCATATAAATACATAATTATAAATACGAATAACATATATTTTAAATATTATATATATTATATAACAAAATCAAAAACAAAATACATTATACTTACTGTTGTACTTTGAATTGACTTTGATCATCAATATATTGATTTACAATACAACATTTTAACTCTCACGGACTACCCTGTGGTTTTTTTTTATGTAATATAATCTTTGTGTAATAGAAGCGAACGTTCTGTGAGAGAAGCTTTAATTCACCTTCGCATTTACATTCTAATTTTATTTTTTGTATTTTTTTATATGTAAAAAACAAAAAAATCGATCGCGACTGATGAAGACTCATGTAAGAGCTCAAAACATTTCGCAATTTTAATATATTTTTGCGCATATGTAATCACTTTTATCTGAATACATTTATTCATCTGTTTTTTGCTGTATATTGACCTTTGTTATTCTTATTATTGTTTATATAACGAGCGTTTCATATCTTAAATTGCACTTTACTTATATCTCATTTGTAAATAGCGCTTGTGTCTTTGTAAATATTTTAATTACGTATTTAATGCTCTGGATAATAGAAATATATAAAAATATATTCGTAAAAATATGTAAATACGAAAAATATACTATATCACATGAATGAGACAATTTTTAACCGCAAGGGAGGATGAAATATAAAACAGAAATGGTAATTATATAGTTTTATATCCAAAAATAAAAAATTTATCTTTTTAAAAATATATATATATATATTTAGATTCAAGTAATTTTACTTTTTGTAAATAATCGCGAATAACACGGGTTGATAAATAATTGCAGATCCGAGAAGGTAATTTTGGGTCACGCTTGGTTTCTTTATCACAGATATATTGGGATGTCTTGGTGTCATGTTTAATACATAGAACGGTGACCGAAATTTCGCTTCTTAAACACGGACGATTTCTGTGCTGTCAACTGTAATTCTTAGAACGGCGTTGTGCGAGGTCTTGGCGAAGAGATTTTTTTTTTTTCAGAATATATCGAAACTGTTAAACACACACAGTGCCACATTTTAGATCAACGCTGTCACGCACGTAGAGATGAAACGCAACTTGATTAAGAACTGTACTCGTCTGTTGTCCATCAAACAGCACACAGAAAAGAAAGTATGCATTGTCGGTGCAGGTCCAGCTGGCTTTTACGCGGCACAGCAGTTACTGAAGGTAAAACACTAAAAAAAAAACTCTTAGCACTCGACAATATAATAAAATATATTTTTCATTATATCTCTTTGTAAAAAAACAATTTACGTTATTTACGTTTGTTGATTGTGTAGTGTTCGAATGATGTCAAAGTTGACATACTCGAAAAACTGCCGGTTCCCTTCGGTCTGGTACGCTTCGGAGTCGCTCCGGATCATCCGGAAGTGAAGAACGTCATCAACACATTCCACAAAACCGCGATCAATCCACGTGTTCAATTTCTAGGCAATATCAACGTCGGTACAGACGTTACGATCGATCAGCTGCGACAATTATATCACGCGGTGCTGCTAGTACGTGTTCTATTGAAAATTAATCGAATTTCTACTTCTCACCCTTTCCTGTCTTTCCAGTTAGCATTTAGAGTTTTATATATATCAACAAAATTTATCGACTATTTATTTACCAATTATATATATATTTATTTTTATATTTTCTCTTAGACATACGGCGCCCAAAACGATCGGTTGCTTGATATACCAGGGGAAAATTTAAACAATGTGATATCAGGCCGTCGTTTTGTGGGTTGGTACAACGGAGTACCAGCTGATAAAGATCTAGACATTAATTTGGATACGGAAGAAGTAGTTGTTTTAGGTCACGGCAATGTGGCCGTTGATATCGCGAGGATTCTACTGTCGCCGATTGACAAATTAAAGGTAGTATCTCTAATTTCCGACTTATAATTTTCGTGATTTATCAGAATTTAAAACTTTTATGTTAATTATTTCAGAACACCGACATCACGTCATATTCCTTGGAACAATTATCTCGCAGTAAAGTACGAAAAGTGTTTTTGGTCGGGCGAAGAGGACCTTTGCAAGCCGCGCTTACGATCGCGGAACTGCGCGAGCTTATCAAATTGGAAAAATGCAAAACTTCCTGGCGACCTCAAGACTTTGAGGGTGTGCGGGAGATTGTGCCGACTCTAGCAAGGCCTCGAAAACGACTGACAGAACTTATGCTTAAATCTTTAGAAGAATCCGTAAGCGACTCGACGTACATTAAAGAGTTACATCCGATCTTCCTGCGAGGTCCCGTAGAGTTTCACGGTGCGAACGAATTGGAGAGCATCAAGTTCACCGTGAATCGTCTGCGGGGCGAGACGATTCAGGATCAGTCGGCCGAGGCGACCGGCGAATTCGATGTGATCACGTGCGGTCTGGCCTTTCGCAGCATCGGCTACAGGTCCGTGCGGATAGACGACTCGATTCCGTTTGACGCTAAGAAGGGACGTGTAGAGAACATTTCTGGTAAGGTCGACGACAATCTTTATAGCGCAGGATGGGCAGCTACTGGACCGGTCGGCGTTATTCTGTCAACCATGACGAACGCTTTCCAAGTCGGCAACTTGATCTGCAAAGAGTTGGCGTCCTCGAGCGAGAATAAATCAGGCTGTGATGGTCTGCGTAAGATCCTGGACTCCAAGGGAATTCAGATTGTCTCGTACGGGGATTGGGAAAAAATCGATCGCGTTGAACAAGAGCGTGGCAAACAATTGAGAAAACCGCGGGAGAAGATTGTTGATGTATCAGAAATGCTAGAAATTGCTGCGAAGTAAGCGAAAATTGTCTTAAAAAAGATGTTTTCCTCTTTAAAAGTTGCAAAAGATCGATGTCATTGTTGCGTATCGATTACACTTATTTATAATCGTGTACTCTTGGAAAGGATTTATAATATATAGCATAATATATATTTTATAGAGTATGATATAACATGTACATATGTCTTTTTGTTTTTGATATTCAGAAATTAATAAACTTTTTTTTTTATCAAATATTGTGTTATATCAGTTTTATCCTATTTATCACGTTATAGTCTTTACAAAACTACATACATTCGAATTGAATAAACATTACAATTTGTAAGCAAACCAACCAATCACTTACCAACATTATTTTCCGTTAGCGAGAAACTGACGGAACGCGGCAATGGTGGCAACGCGCAATTTTGTCACGTGGAAAGATCTTAACCTGACATGACTTACCTGATGTAATCAAACCTCACGAACAGTCGCAGGTTATTTTTTGAAGAAGTAAATAACTGGTGTAATATGTTATGGACGTAATAAGAGTCTGAGAGTCGTTAAAAAGTTACAATTAAACACTAATAATCGATAATAACAAATAAACTAGGTATAAATTGCATAAATATGTGTATAATATTTTTTTACTATTTCTGTATGTCAGAAATATGATTAATATTTCTGTGTGGAAAGTTCTATGTGAGAGTCAATAATTCTATCTGGTTTGAAAAACTAATACTTTAAATTGGACTCTGTATTGTTTCAATAACATTTTGACAGCTGTCTGATGTGATGTACTATTCAACATAAAATCTTATATTTTATAGTTAAAACATGGAGTTACGAGAACCGAAGAAAAAACAGAGAGAGAAACCGAAGGAGCAGATGCCATTTCCTATTCCAATAAATGGATCACAAGAGGAATGGCCAATGTATACAGCACATCTTACAGACATAGGTGCTTGCATAATTGAACCTGACCAGATCAGAGCGGTATATAACAATGTGTGTTATAAAAATGAATGTTATAAGATTACATGTTTTTTTAAAAAAAGAAAGAGAATAATAACAAATATTAAATTTTATCTATAGGGATATTTTGGCAAAGGATCACTGTCGCGTGGTAATCCCATCTTCGGTAAAGCGCGATTTGGAGCGCCTCCAGTTGTTCAAAACAGACAGTGGTATCGTAGACAAGAATGGATGAAAGATGTCAAGGAATTAAACGCTGCTTCTTCATCTACTTTAACAGGTTTAAAATAAAAAAATTTTTAGTAACATACGAACTAAAATTTCTATTAATATAGAAAAAAACATATATATATATATATATATATAATATTAAAATAAAATTATAAATATGTAAAACTAAATTATTTTTAAAGTGTAATGAAACACTTTAATGATTGCAGAAGTTGAAGAAGTCAAATATAACAACGAAGATACTGTTTTGAATGACAAAGAAGAGAACAGCAATGATATTATTGAAATTCCATCAACTTCTGAAAATGGGAACAAAACACAAGATGAAATCAACACAATTTCAAAAGACATTGATGAGGTCGTTCTGGATTCCGCAGAAGAGGACGACATATGTGTCATTGCTAATAAAGACTCTGAGAATTGTGATACTAAATTATCGATAGAAGAGTGTTCTATAGAAGAAGAGAAAAAAGAAGAATCGAGCAACTTGTCTGGTAAAAAAGTTTTCACACAGAAGTACAATTTATATAAAATATGTATAATTTAGACATAGAACATAGTTATATATATTTTTATTAAGAAAAGAGAGTAGATAAAACCATTTTTATGTATGAAATTTTTTTACAGACTATTACGACTTCAAAAATGGCCGCAACAACGAAGAGGATATACAAGGCAAGCTGCTGGTTTTGCCAGATAGCGACTCGGACACCGAGAATTATCTAGAAAACATCAAGCCAAGGATCGAGGACGAAGGTTTTCCGGTCCGTGAAGCTTTGCATCTCACTTTCGAGGAAACTTTCTTTCTTCTTTTTGGATTGGGTTGTCTGCAACTGGTGAATTTTGACGGTAACCTAATGGACATCGATGACACGTGGTTGTACTTCAACAAAAGAAGCTCGGAATTTCTGCAAAAATATGTGGTTTACCATTATTACAGGAGTAAAGGATGGGTGGTCAAGCCTGGTTTCAAATATGGTGGAGATTTTTGTTAGTATCGCTTGTTTTTTATTGCAGAAATAATTTTGTACGAATAGAAACGTATGCAATATCCAAGTGTGTTATCTACTAACTTAATATTTCAGTACTATATAAACACGGACCTCCCTTTCACCATGCTTCTTTTATTGTAATAATCGAAGTCGTAGATGCAGACACTTTGCTCGTAGACACTGCTAAGACTAAGCGAACCATGACGTGGGAGCAATTATATGGATTCAATAGACAATCAGAAGCTACTGCTAAGGTAAGCATTTATATACATATATACACAATGTAAATATACTTAATAGAAAAAATTGAAAAAAAAACAAAAAAGAATTTTCTTGATAAATTAAATGCTATTTGCAACAGGAAACATTGTTCGCGCAAGTTTTATGGCCGTCATCGGTGCCACAAGACATTAGCAATACTAGTCCTGATATACTCTCAGAATTTACGGTAAGAGAAGTTCATTGGCGACGATGGAATCCTAAGCAGCATCGGGAAGATGTGACTATTGAAGAAGACGATGATGATGATGATGATGATGATTCATCCAATTAAATATTTTTGTAATTATTTAGATACGAAAAGTTTTTATATTTCATTTTTTATACTCTGCTATCGTATATATGTATGTCAGTATTGTACAAAAATTCTGCTTGGATCTTACAAGTAAGACGGCTGCAGTGGTTGCCACCATATTTTTCTTTACATTTTTCATTGTAAAGATAAAAAACTATTTGCATTAAAAATGAATCATCGCAATTGTAAATCGCCACGAATTATACAAGTGCAATAATAATCACTTGTGTGTAATATTCTGATGTTCTAAGACCTCGCGCTTTCTGTGCGAAGCGTCTGAGAATGCTTTGCAGCAAGATCGAATCTTTATCTTTATCAATGATTGGCGCGCGGCGGTACCGCTAGCGGTACCGCGAAGTGAAAGCAAAGTCCGTTTGCGGAGTAGAATCAAGAGGGGCCCACGACGGTCCCCGGGGGCCCGTGCAGTCAGTCCGAGGCGAGCTGAGAGCTGGCATGTCGAGTAACCGTGAGTTGTCAGCGAGTCGAGCATCCCTAAATCAAGCCCAAGTTAATATTCCGCGCTCGATCCGGTGAGCAGAACAACAAATTTGATATATAGATATTCCTTTTTCTTATTATTCTTATCAACTCTGATGTCAGGCGACAAAATATAAGTCTAAAACATTTTTGTGTATTAATTTAATCTAAGTCTAACTGATAAATATCAGTGTTCGATATTTTTACTAAGTTTTTTAAATCAATTTTCAAATCTTTGAAAATTGTTATAATAAGAATTTTAACAACTTTTAAAAACTTTTGTATTTCTTTAAATATAAATTTTATATATATATATATGTTTTTTTTTCTATACAATATTATTACACAATGATGACGTAATTCTTTTTATCATCCGTAAAAATTCAAAGACTGAAACGATCTCCGACAAGTGAAAATGACAAAAGAAAAACCCGAGTGATTTAAATTTCAAGTCACTGCTATTCAGCGATTTGAGAGAAAAATCTACATATATCGTTAACGTGCGTGTCTTGCGTGACTCTTCGTGAAATAAAGATTTATTCGGGGAGGGAAACAAAACAAACATAACGAACAGAGAACCGAAGAACAAGATAATGAATAAAGAGTCGTGTCACTTTCATACGAACCGAATACGAGAGAAAGCGCGAGAGAGTATTCGTCCGTATCTGCGCTTAATTTATAGGAAGTGAACGAGAGATGATGCGACAAAATCTTCCACTTGAATTCCGGCTAGGAAGAACAGGAAGAGGAGATAGTTTCTTTCTGTTTGTTTATAAAACTATAGTGCTGAAAGAAATTGGAGGCTTTAACGCAACAGCGATTCGGCCCACTTTTTTTTGGGTGAGATCTTAAAAAGAAATTACAGAAATTTTTGAACGAATATTTTCTCGTCTCTGACGTCATAATTCAATATGGCTACAACGCGAGCAATCTTTTTAATTTGACTCTCTTGATCGCAAAATTAATTTTGCATCCGATCCCGGAGAGAACAAAAGGTAAAAAAAACTAAAAAGCGCTCTATTTTGTGCTCTTAATTTATTTCTCAATTATAAAAATATTTAAGAGAAGCGAACAAAATTTGACTCTTCGCGCACACAGTTTCTTGCGACGTTTGTTAGTCAACGTTGTAGTCGCAATAAGCAACTCAATGGAACTCGCTATTCGTGAAACACGATTTTTTCGGGTTTTCGTTAAAAAAAAAAACAAAAAAAATGGACGCGCATTATTATACGAGAAGCACGCATATATAACACAAGAATTTTATCTTTTGTAACGGCTAAAACGCCGCAAATGGACGAGTGAATGTCATCCTCGTCTCACGATACGCCTGGGAATTCAGTTGCATCCGACGCGGCGATGTGCATAAGCGATGAATAAGCTTTATCTCGTCGACGAAATCACCCGCAGCGAAATTTCGATCGCTCGCTCTCAACCTTTTAATTGCCGTCGCGGAAGACGAGATGCGCGAAACGAATTTTATTGACTGACTGATACTAAGCTTTACACAACAGCAATAAATACTAATTAAAAAGTAATATATACTCATTTAAGATGAGATTATTCCAAAATGACAAAACAAAAAGAAACAAACAAAAAATTATTCAGACGTTGGAAATTGAATGCTGAGAAATGTCACTGACAAAAGTCACTTTTACAGATAAATTCTCACATATAAATACACATTGGGGGGGAGGGAGAGAAGAGGGGGGGGGGAAGTTTGCAGAAATTTATTTCTTTAACAAGTTGCACCATTCCCAGTATTCTTTTTGTTCGCTGTCGTAATAAAAAAAAAAAACAAATAAGAGAATATAGTTATCATAATTAGTTCTCTCTGAATTGTGAAATTTCGTCAGTCACACGTTTTGGTGACGCGCAAATTCTCGCGAAAAACGCATCGCCAAAATACGAAGTGCAAAAGCGCACGGATAATATCTCGGGGTATCTAAAGAGCTGAACGAGATTCGAGTGAAAGTGTACAACTGTTTGCACCATCTATACGTTCCCTACGGCATCCTTGTGCCTGCTTCTGGTTGTAATTGTGGGATATATCGCTTACATTGCGTTATATTACGTGCTCGGGGTACACCTAATATATATATATATAGAGTACGTGTTTGAAAAAGCGAGAGTCGCTCGTGTTTCGAAATGAGTTTTGTTTAGATTTGAATTTTCAAAAGTGATTTGCAAAATCGCGCACAGTAGTGACAAATCGCTAAAACCACCCGGTCGTAGTTCGATGCAATTGATTCAAAACCGTCGACGTTTTTTTATCGTCGCGAACAATTGATTCGGCTGTCGCTGTACGACGAAATTAAAAGCGACGTAAAATATCGGTGTCTTTAAAAATCCTCTTCTCGCTTTAAACACTCCCTCCCCCTCCTTCAATGATAACGAGATGTTACTTTTGATTTTTTTCCATTCATCGTAAAAAAAAAACCCAATCTCCAATTGTCGTTAAATTGTCTTGAGCGTGGAAACGGAACGTGAAAATTTTTACGTTTTCGTCGGCGATCCCCGAGTTGTTTACAAAAAATTTTCGCTCTGTCGCGCAAAGTTGCGCTCTATCTCGACGTAGTTCTCTCAGCTCGCACTTCCATTCGCGTTTCCATTCCGAGGACCCAGAAGAGAACGATTGCTAAATGGACATTCCTTCGAGAGACTCGAGCTTGCTTTCTAAGCGCGCGCGAGCGCGCGCGTACACTGGTCACGTGCGACGCGGGTCCGTTTCGCGCGGACATTCTGGGCCCGACACGTGCAACCGTCGTTTCACGATTCTGTATAGGGTATACATGCACGGTCCACGCGCGGTGACAGCGCGTGCGAGATCACGTTCACCGCTCTCGTTTAACGCGCGCCGCGTTTCCCTCCCTCGAGTAACCGTGATAGTGGCAGTCCGTGTGATTACCGCGAAGGGCGTGATTAACGAGCGGGATAGACTGTCGCAATTTCGTTGACCCTGAACCGCGACGCGGTTAATGCGTTAAGTTTTTCCTTCAATCAGAGCGAATAAATTCGATAATTTATCTCTTTCGCGTATTTCGCGTACGAAACACAAAAAAGAGAAAATAATATATAACGAGGGCTTATCGTCGAGAGTCGGTCTCGCAACGCCAGTTTGCATAATTTTACGCCACTGTTTTTTTTTTTTTTTTTTTTTGCGCGCGCGAATTTACGATGCGTAATTTTAACTTTTCTCTTGATTGGCACTTTAGATTCCTAATTTTATTCATCGAACTCTTACGTTTTCTAGTTTACGATTAAAAAAGTAAATGCGATCGTTTGGCGGATTGTGCGTTTTTCTCGTGCGTGTTTCTCTCAGGCGCGATAATCTCTCGATCGGGAACGAGAGCGCGAAAGAGCGCATTTATATGCGCGTTACGTGTGTACTCTCGCGCTGATGGAAAGTAAAATAAACTCGCGGGAGTGTTCTTCCGAGTGAAACCGACGCAGCTTCCGCTTCCGAGTCCGTCTCTTACGTATGGAGAGGCTCGTGGAGATCCGCTTTAGAAGAGTTAGAAAAAAAAAAAGAAAAAAAAAGGAATCTGGGTCAATCGCGCGCGATCAGGAAGCAATTAGGAAACCAACCAGTCTTCTGCAAACGGAAAATTTACACGCGCCCTCTTGCTAAACCACGTTTCTTTATTATTTCTGCATGATTACACCTTTTGGCGAGAGAGATATTCTGCCAATAAATTAAACTTCATCTCGTTCATCTGTTTTGCAAATTCGATGCGCGTAAGAGACTCGTTTGTATAAAACGGCATAAACTCGTTCTCTCGCGAACTCCCGCGCTATATTTCGCAAGCGCGACGAGTCTAATAACGACGGTCGGAATTCAATTCGAACGCGGTTTTGCGGTAAACTCGGCAATTTTCGAAGGCGAATATCGAGCGATTATAGAGAGACCATCTTTAGCGGCGAGAAATTGTCAATTTGCGACGGCGCGCTATTACTCTGTCGCAAATGATATTTATTCTTTTATTTCGAATGACGATAGCAATTTAATATATTGTTGCGTTTAGATTTAATTAAGATCGTTATTCAAACGCGCTCACACACACACACACGCACACATGTAGTATAGTTTTTTTAAATATTTAAACCACGGTTTATTTGCTCGAAAGAGGAACATTTATCAAGCCTCGAATCGATCTTAAAGGAGGAGCCGACTAACAAGCGGATAGTGGTAGGAGGAATAAATTAACAATTGATAAACTCTCTGGCAGAGCTCTCCCGGAAAGAAAAAGAGCGCGGAAAGAGAAGCCAGATTCCTTCTTCATCTCTCGGTTGGAAACAGACGGAAGGTCGCTTCTGCTCGCGTTGCGGGATGTCCAATTAAAAATAAACGTCCTCGGGGCCCGAGTAAAAAAGTCACCAACGCGAAACAGGATTGGCAAAACCTGGCGCGAACGGCCGTGATCCTGGAAGACGAGGGAGTTCGGGGCTACCCGTGGAGGAGGAAATAAGAGAGACAAGAGAGAATACGAAGAGAGAATATTTTCACGAAATTGCTTGCAACAATTTGCAACGATCGACGACGAATTCTCGCGCGGCGAGAAATAATGGAACGTTCCTCAGACGCTGAATAACGCGGAAACAGGTTGCGCGCGATGACAGGCGCGAGCACGGCGCGATTATTCGCGAGAATAATACCCGGTAGCGTTTTATGTTCTTGAGAACAAAAACGAGCGACAATGTGCCGCCGGGCGGTGATGCGATAAAAGAGCGCAACACAACTCTCTCGAAGTTAACCTTTTACCGGAGTCTCCGGCACCAATTGGAAGAAGACAAAGCGTTCCGCGTACGCATGGGAAAGTGTTTTCCCGTAGATTCTCAGAGTTTTGTTCGACCGCGCGATTGTGACTGCGCGGGCTTTTGCGTTTAGAATCGCGCTCGTAGGAGACACAAGTGAATTGCGTCCCGCGGCTTGCGTCAGAAACTAGCAAAATGCGTAAATTCGCGGCGAAATTATTATTTCCCAGTCGGTGGTCGCGGCCATTAGGCAACGAGGATATTCCTCTACCGGCGACAAGTCGTGTCCCACACTCGCGAGTCACTCAATTACCGCTCGCCGTTTTAATTGCTTTTAATTGTAGCAAGATTCTTTCACATCCAGTTGTAGACCCAATTAAGAGAGACAACATTTTCAGAATTTCGAAATCAAAATTTTCGATCCTCGCATCGATCACGATGTTTCCTTCCGATTTCGAATCAAACGAGAATTTTCTCACGGTCGCCGTGTATCAAACGGCCGAAAAAAAAAAACATGCGAATAACGTCGCGAAACGTTTAAAGATTCAATTCGTGGCTCGCTCCGCGGCTTCTGATTTATTGCGTTTTTTGAATTTTGGAAGTTTGAATTCGCGTGTCGCTTTCGTAAATTAACATACACGGGGACCACGTGTGTTTCCGAAAGTGGCGAGATGATGGAACGGATTAACATACGTTGAATAAGAAATTTTTAAGTTGGTCGACAGCAGAGCAAACATCGCATCCGCTGTATTGCAAAAAGTGTCGGAAGACACTTCTCGAGACTTCTTTTAAATCCGCGATAATATTGAGAATCTTCTGTGACGAAACAAACTGAATCTCTCGCGATTGACACCAAGACAAATTTATTTTGCGTCAAAAGAAGAAACGGCGAAAAAATTTCGAGAAACGAAATGTGCGTTTCCGCAACGTTTTGCATATTGCGCGAGAAGTAACATCAAGCCGAAAAATGAAACTGTCAATGCGCGTAGGCGCAGTTTTTGGACCCGCGGTCGATGCTCGAGCCCGGCCATGATCTTGGCGGATCGACCGGGAATAACGTTCTCGACGTTGATGACCGGTTTTTAGCATATTTCGCATGTGGCGTATTCGAGAGCGCCGATCGTTACACTTGACCACGAAACTTAAACTCACGGACGGATAATAAATTAACCGGTCTGTAACGCGCTATACACCGATTTTTTTAACCGGCAGTTAATTTTCGTCAGAGAGATAAAGATCTTCGCAAAAGTCGACGCGCTTTCGTTTTTCGACTTTGTTACCTGAAAATGTTAACTCGCAAATATTTACATCTCGCTCATTTCGAACAAATTGTTATCCGCGCATTTGATTATTTCAAAATTGTTAAAAGAGACTTTCGGTTGTTTTGCGAAAACTTTGTCGCAAACGTGACCGCGATAGATATTTTTACACTTCCGGAACGATTATCTTGCTGGATTTGAATCATAATTTTTTAATGCATATTTTTTAAAACTGAGAAATATAAATCCGGTCATAAGAGCCGTTCGCAGGATGTTGTGCGGAAAATATGCGTGTATATATATATATATATATATATATACACGAACAAAAAAATGATGTTGAATCAACAGTATCAGTTTAATTGAAATATATCCTGTTGATGCAACATCAATATTATTGCACTACACACAGCAGATAGTTGCTTTAAGAATCTAGACATTAAATTAATCGCATATGCATAATTGAATGAACTATTTATTTTTGTGGCAGCCCGTGACATCAACTTTAATTGAAGCAACTCCATTTTTTTTTCTGTGCATATACGTGTTCACATGTAAATTTTTACACATGTGTTTTTTTCTAATTGAAATTTCAATTCTTGTAATCATATAGGATGCTAGATTTGCATCACGTATATGAAGGACCTCAAATACCCTTCCCAAACTAATTTAAAATATTGCGAAAGGAACTCTCCTCCAGCCAGGAATATTCTTTAATTGTTTTTCTTTTTTTTTTTTTTTTTCATCTCTGAGAACAAGTTCGTCGTTCTTTCCGCAAGAATACACATCTCGATCGCAAAAAAAGAGCCGCGTGCGCGGGAAAGAGTCCACTCCGATACAAATGTCCGAGATTTATGCGCATTGCAGCATGACGTTTTTTTTTTTCAGGTCATTACATTCTATACACGCGTGCTTTGTGCGTGCATGTGTGTGTGTGTATACGTGTACGACAGTAGAAAAGTAGCGAGAGAGTAAGAGCCACTCCTTCGTGAGTCGAGCAGAGTGACTTATTCTCATATCGTTACTTTGTACACCTTGAATTCTCCGCGATGATAATTCGGCTGCTTTCTGTCTGGGTATTTATTTTCGCAATCAAAACGTGTCTTGTCAAAGTTTTGCCGAGTTATAATGTTGCTGTTATCTTCTAAGACAACGTCATATATTTCCTTTAGTTTATTATTATTATTTTTTTTTACGTTAAATCGTTTGTACGTTGAAGAAAATTTAATCAGAAAGTTTGCCTGTCAAGTGAGAAACTGAAGCGAAGTACTTCACACATTCGATGTGCAAGAGAGAGATAGACTTTTATTCAAAATGAAAAGAAGAAAAACCGCACACGAATTATCTCAATAATAAATGAACACGCCGTTTAATTAATTTTAAACAGCCGAAAGACACATCGATTTGCTGGAATTAAACGGACAGATCTCGTCGCGAGTGACTTTCACTCATATTTGACTCGCGATAATTTGCCGCGTGTCCTATCATTAGAAGCACTTCGTGATGGAAATATTGTGCTTTTCCAGCTCACGTAGCCATATTATACGTCTCGCGCCGAGATCAAACCGGCAACGGTCGTGAGAGAGAACACGGGTGAAAGGAGCGAGTTCAGATTCCGCGGGATGCTGTGTGAGTTTTGCCGTGTGTCTCGATGATCCTATTCCTCGATTGCGACGCTGCGGGAAAATCGTTTGATCAAAATTTCTCCGATCCAAATCTCGAGAGATTTCAGTATTTTTTTTTCCCACGAAAGCAACATATCGTCGTCGCGGTGCATACAAAAGTAATACAACAAATACAAAAACTTGAGCGAGTTTATGTATACAAAAAAAAATTGAACTCTGTAAATATGTAATTAAAATAATACGAAGATTAAAAAAATAAAAGAATTTCGAACTTCAAAATATGTAAAAGTAAGTGAAGCGGATATTGATTTCTCTCCTCAACATTTTTGCCAAATAAGAATCTACTTCAATTGCGTCCGGAATAATAATGACAATAATGACGCGCGTTGCAATTAAAATAATGAAATCATTGTAACGGCAAACGCGACGCGCTCTCGAGAACGAAAAAAATTCGCGGGAATATCGGACGTCGATATGATCGAATCTAAAATTACGGATTCTAGTCATGCTCTTGTCTTTGGACGAGGGAGGGAGGAAGGCGCCTTTTACTATTGTTTCGGTTTAAACGATTACCGACACTCGCTCACCCCGTTACGCAACGATTTACCGCCGTTACCGCGCTCTCCTTTGATTGTGGTAACGACGTTGCGTTTGCCTCACACAGGATGTTTCCCGAGCGAGCTCATGCCTCACAATGCTCATACTCGAACAGATAGCAATCGGGCGAGAAGGAAATTTTTTATATACTTGCGACACTCTTGATTGCCTCAGACGATCTGCGAAATCGAAACGCTCTTTTTTTTTTATTTATTTCTTCGCGATCGTCAATATCGATCATCAGCAAACATTTGACGTTTTGATTGACAATGTCAGTGCCTTGCGTTTTAACGATCTTTTTAGATTCAAAAAGTAAAAACTAAAAAAAAAAAAGAATTTGAAGTTAAAAATTCTATAAATAAAATTAATATTAAATATAAGATTTGTTATAAAATACGCTAAAAAAAATATGCTTAAATATATTCTTCTTGATCAAATCATTTCTTTCTTTTCTACAAATTCTTTCAAAAACAATTTTCTTTACTGCCTGCAGCCGCCACGCGGTAAAAAAAAATCGAAATAATGATTTACGACGCTTGTGTGTACGACGTAAGATCGAAGGACAACCGGGGTTCATTTCTCGCTCGTGGAAAACTCGAGAGAAATACTTTTCCAAGCGCCTGCGTGATATAACCACGTCACTTGCAAGCGTCATTCCGGATTTGTATATAAAATGTTCGTCAACAGTTTTATTTATCCGATATACCGGAATATTTTCTCAACCAACGAAGATGTAACTATGCAAACACAAGGATGGATCTCTCCTCTCGCGTAGGAGAGCGGTATAATTAGCGATTTCCATAAAAGAACGAGACGTAATAATCAACACACAGAACGGTATTTTTTAATAAAGCGGATTTTTTACATAATCGTTCTCTGTTAAGAAGAAAAGTAACGGCGCTTCTAACGTGAAAAATGAAACGTATCCGCGCGTGATTGATGTAACAAGCGGTTTTAATCCCTTCGAGAAAATGAACGAGTGACTGAATGCACGCGCAAATAATAACGTAATCGTCTGGGAATCGTCACTCGGATCTCCCATGGTTAGAGTAGACAATTTATTTCTCGTGTGCCGTTAATAACACGCAAATTCAACAATATTATACACACGAAGTTAAGTTATTACACGCGAATTAAAAAGTGACGAAATATTGCCGCGCCGCAACGCGTTTTATGCAGTTTATTTGCATTTTTGTTTATTATTACTACAAGTGTGATTGATATTTGCACAATATACCGCGCTGTCGCGCATTCTTTTTTTTTAACAAAATAACTTTTTTAATTTTTTTATACCGTGTACGCGACGTGGAAACAAAATTGGAATGACTGATCATATATAAATTAGTCGCCACGTCGGATTGTCATGTACAAGATCAGTGAGAGAGAAATTTTGTTGTTGTTGTTGTCTCATATATGCGTTTTTATTTATTTTTCTTCCAGATTCTGAGATTCGTGCGTTCGCATAGGATGAGATCAGACTGAGCGCAATGACATCGAGATACTTCGTGTTCGCCGCGGCTCTGGCCTATGGTGGGTAACCGTGACGTCATCGCTAATATAACTGCAGAATTTTAAAGAAAAAAAATCCCCTTTGTTTTCAAGGCCCGTAGTGACTAACAATCTTTTGTGAGTTGCTTTGTTCGCGAATTTTGCTTGTCGGTAGGGAGAATGTAAATATCAATTTTTTTTTTTTTTTTTTTACTGTAATTGTGTGTTTAGTGATTTAACGAAATTATATATAGTTTGCTTCACGTGCGCACGGGTGTGCGTTTTTACGACCGATTTTCGATGAGACATATTGTTGCAACGCGAGAATAAAACAACAGAAACACAATCGATGTTGTTGCAGTTGCAGCCGCGCAAGTTTACCAGCCCGTAGACGCAGCCGCGCCAGTCGAACCGGCACTTACGAATAATGACTTCATCACGCAGACCGTCTACGGATTCTTGGACTTCACCACGACGATCGGCAACACGGTGATGGTCTTCAGCCCTCAAAGCGCTCCTCCAGGTAAACATCTCTTCGAGATATCAACGATCAATCACACACGTGGAATACGTAATTATGTCCGATTAATTATTTTTTTTTTTTAACGGTAATATTGCGTACGTAATTATGTCCGATTAATTATTTTTTTTTTTTAACGGTAGTATTGCGTAACAGCTAAACACATTTTTATTTTCAAGTTTTGTGACGGACAATTATTGATTTCGTCATATTTCACTCTTTCTCAAGATACGCGTGAATAATTGAAAGAAGAAATTCAATCCAACCGTTACTTACGTCCATTCAAATTATTGGCACAATTATCCCACACACGAAACGCGTTCTTCTCTCGCGCTCGCTCGCTCATTCAACACGTCGTTCTGAAATTCATTTCTGCAATTCTAACCGAGAAACAAACGCCGAAGACCGGCGCAAGTGGCGAAACGGTTGGGTCGCAATTGAGCTTATAAACCATGAGGTGTCACGAGATGAGTTTGAATGGCAAATAATGAGACGACTTATCTACTCTCTAAGCGCAACCAACGCTTTTTGTTATTCCGCGCTCCGTTCGCGAGTTTAGATCCTTCGAGTTGCCGGATGGAACACCTTGACAGGTTCTGAGAAGAGTGTTCCGGACCTTGACGAGGGGCTCAATCTTCTTAGCATATCTTCGCGCGTTCGGTTACGCGTACAGATCGCGCTTATTGTTCACTCGTCATGTCTCTCTTTTGTCATCTCCTTTCTCCTTGACTTTTTCAAACCACCCACTCAACATGCAACTGTTCTCGTTTGTTTTCTTTCTCGCTTTTAAACGAGGATAGAATTTCGAAGGTTATTGTCGTAAGAAAAAAAAAACAGAATTTACTACGCAACAAATTCACCAGTTCAAGATCGACGTTGTTGTTTCACTAGCTGTTGTAAAATTAAAGTAAAATACAAACCGCGCGAAATCAATGTAAATTAAAATAAATTAAAGCCATCAATATTATCCACACGGTACAACAGTCCAAAAGACTAATTAAATAAAAACAAAAGTTAACAAACGACAAAAAATAATAACGCGACAACCGATATATGTGTAAACAAGATGTGTAAATAAGATAATGAAAATATAAATATAAGTTTTCGCACATACTTGGAATTATTTTTGTCCGCGGGACAATATAAAGAATTAAACGAGAGACCTTCGGTGCGGGTGTTGGCCGTCTCTTTTCACAGTAATCGAGTATGCAAATGCGTCGTTTGTTTTCAGAAGGGGACACCGAGAAGAAGACCGCGTCCTCGACGTCGGCGATTCACACGAAGCCGACGGTGGAACAGAAGAAGAATGTCCCCGACATTCAGCCCAGTAAGACCCACAAGGCCGAGGCCCAGGGTGGCGAAACGAAGAAGCAGATAAAGGGCACGAAAGTCGTTGTAAATTCCGTGGTCGAGCAAAACGTGAACGTCCCGCCCGAACTAAAACCTACGAAGAATCAGGTGAGAATTTTATCTCAAATTTGTTAATTACAATGGCAATATTTGATTGGAAATGGTAAACTGACAATTAAATAAAATTTAACAAAATAAAACGTTTGAAGAAAAGAGAGTTTTCCACATCTGTTTGTCCGTGGAGAACAATACGATTTTATGTTATTAAAAAAAAAATGAATTTTTAAATTGAATATATAGACAAAAATAAATATCTGCGCTAATGTTTTAGGAGGCGAGTAAACAAACAAAGGTACCCGCGTTATCGTCGGTCGTTCAGGTGCGCGTTAAGGATGAAACCCCGGTGAAAAATAATCTCGCCGAACCGGAATACGATTTCCTTTCGAAGCAACCGACGGAAGTGATTGACGAGACGTACAAGGTAGGAGAATCTAGATCGAGAAGAGATAAATGTTATTATTATTTTCTTTTTCTTTTCTAGGGAAAAGTTTATTTTCTTTACGTATATATATTTGAAACTGGATCGAATCTGCTTTCTCTCTGCGGTTAAGATAGACAGAAATTGCGGTGTGTGTTATTTTTTTTCGAAATCCACCGCTATAGATCTTATCTCGCAAAACCTACAATTAACACATCGGATCGAAGATAATATCAAAGATAAAACGATATATAAAGTGCAGAAAGCAGAAAACTCGGATATCCAGTTTACAAAAGCGACATTGATCTTTGCGCGCGAGCGCGAGAACTGCGCGAGATATGAAAATTGAGAATCTGGTTTTCTCGATTCCGCTAATTGTCGCCAAACCGGACCATGCGCATTGCCAAACGAACGAACTCGACATCGCGTCGCGACGTTCGTTCGAAAACGAGTTCTGTTCGATCGACGGAATTCCGATCGCAAAAAGCGATTTTTATTTTTGTTTTTTGACGCGTGGAAAATAAACCGCGATACACGGGAAAAATGGGTTAACCGGTCAGCGCGCGAGGGGTGGGAAGGTCGCGTGAAAATCGTTCTTACGATTTTGCCGTAAAATTGCGCAACGATCTCTAAAGCGACTTTCACGATAACTCTTGCGCGCGAAACTACCGCAAAATTATATTCCTAATAATTGCGTCGGCGTAATTTTCCGCGTGCCGTAATCGATTTCCTAGCCGATCCTTTCCAGCTGTCTCTTCCCCTCCCCCGGTCCCTTCCCCGACAATCGGCGTGAAAGTCCCGACCCGATCGGCACCGATAAAATCGGTTTCACTCGCGGAGCGCGTCGGTGCTTTTCCAAGGATATTTCCCAGCGATGTTGCGTAGAAAATGACGGAAGATTTTAAACAGTAGATATATTTTTTTATGGACGCTCCCTAAATTTAGAAATTTCTTATTTATTTGGTAGTTATATTCGTAATTTATCAAATTCACTCAACATCCCGCGCATTATTGTTGCAATGTTTTTGATAATATGTAATTGGTAATCAATACAATTCTGATTTTGACAGCTGATCAATCTGCGACCCTCGTCGAAGGTTCATAACAAGCCGCGAGCGACCGCGCGGAGAGAAAAAGAAAACCCGACCGGGTTGGTAACCAAATTGGGCGGCACCATCGTGAAGGACGGCCTCACGACAGTGCACGAGACCAGCGTGATCGGCACCTACATCAACGGCAAGTACGCCCAGGTGTTACAGAGTTCTTCCAGAATCCTAACAACGCCGGCCGCGCCGGTAGCCGAGGGTAAAATTCGGCCGTCCAACACTCAACGGATTCTGAAGACCATCGGTCCGCAACACGGCAAGCTCAAGCCGCAGCTCGAACCTACTCCGACCCATCAGTATCAGGACGAGTCCTCGTTGCCGTTGGAGGTTCTTTTCAACGCGTCTTCCGGTGAATATTTTATCTGCAAAATAAAAACTAGAAATACGGTTGTATTTTTTAAGTCAAAATGTGATAAATTTGTAGAAAAAAAGAATATATATATAATATTTCTCCGATATAAATGTTGTTATCAGGTTCGGTGAAATCGACGCGAAGACATTCGGTTCCCAACAATCAGCTCAGACCCAAATTCCGTAACAAGATCGCCGATGATTACGACAGTAACGAGTCACAACAAGCGAGGGCTGGGAAAAATCGCCTTCCTGGGACGACCGCCCGGCCGAATTATAAGTGAGTATCTCTCTGATAAGAACAATCAGAACAAATGTAATATATTCATGACTTTACTTTATTAAACAATTGTTTGCTTTATTTCTTCAGAAATCGTCCGGCTACCACCACCACCACAGAAACACCGCTGACTCGTCGTCGCAGCGGTTTTCGACCGAGCAGTCAGTCCATCAGTTTACCCTCGAAGCAACCGGCGAGGTCGAAGAGCAGCGACCAGCCGCCGTCGACGCCGTCCAGTCTTCCACCGCCCAAGGTGAAGTTGCCTAGAACGCAGGGTCGCTGGTCGTACAAGACCACGCCGAAGCCGAGGGTTATGATTCGCAAACAGGTGGACGAGGAAGATGCGCGAACATCGACATCCGAGCCCGTCGTATCGGAGTCATTCTCTGTGACTTCGGACGAGCAGGACAAGATGACAACCGCGACGACAATTGGCACAGCTCCGAACAGCGTAAATGTTGCTCAGAGGAAGGAGCTGACCTTGACGGAGGACGAGTTAGATCCTAGCGAGAGCGAGGACGTGGCCAGCGTCAGCGTGCAGGAGCAGCAGCATCCTGGAGAACAAATTCTGCCGTTGGAGACGCTCAACGTGGAGATCTCCACCGCGGCGAATCTCGACAGCGTCTACTTTGAAATTGCCACTATCAAGTCGCCATACGCTTTCCAGGTGTGTTCTCTGTTTAAATTGTCCAAAGTTTATATTTTCGCGTCTCATTTTTAATATTATATTAACTTGATAACTTCTTTCAGGTTGGAACTTTGCGGAATACCCGCTACATCACGGTGACCTCCACTATCAAGAAGACCTTCGCCACGGCCGAACCGAGCAGTTCCGTCTCGCCGACGGAACCTCTTACAGAAAATATCTTGGCGAACACCGCAGCCGCCTACGAGTCGACTTTGCCCCTCGACTCGTCGGTTGCGACACTGCCGGCGATCTCGCTGGACGCCGCCCAGGCAACACCACCTTTAGAGACGCTGACCGAGACGTTCTCGACGACGCAGACGTTACTGAAGACCCATCTGCTGCCGGTCATCTACGGCGGCAACAGCACGACACGACTGACTCTCGTGCAAACGTACAATATCGCCCGAATGGTGACGGCGACGAAAACGCTGCCGCCGATGGAGATCTACCAGTTTATTCCCAGCAAGACGCTGAACGAGTTCAATTCGAAGCTCGACGAGGCCGGAAGCGAGCTGCATCTCGAGCTTGATTTCAGCGACGACGATCGCGACGACGAGGACGTGCCTAAGCGAGTAGTGGCGCCCAGCAACGACGCCGATTCCGATCTCGATGTCTTCAAGTCGGTGTCTCCGTCTAAAGTCAAGAACGACGTTGCAACCAGCAGCAGCCCCGAGCCGCAGATATCTCCGGAACAAGCTCAGCAGCTTGCTTTGCTCAAGTATTTCGGTCAGCCGCAGCCACAGGTCATCACCACGTCCAAACCGGTGATCGTCTTGGAGACGTTGTACGAGTCGCACGTGATTCCTGTGGTGAACGCGGGAAACACTATTTATTCGACGCTCTCCAGACCGGTTGGCACCGTACCTAGGTGGGTATTCTCGCAATATTCAAGTGTGTTTTTTCTAATATATTTAATATTAATATTAATTTAATATTAAAAAAGAAATAAAATACTAATTAAGTATCATATAATGCTTGCATTTCCACGTCCTTTTCCGTATATTCTCATTATTTCTCTGTATGTTTGTTTTAGAACGTCCTACGAGTACGGTACGTCCACGGTGAGCCCGCAGGTGTTACAACCGCAGGTGCCACAGGTACCGCAGATACCCTTGTTCCCGCAACAGCCGCAGTTCACGGTGACCAGCGCACCCTTGATCACTCAGACCCTCGCCACCGTGTCGGAGTCGCGAGTTTTGAAGCTGACATTCGGCGCCAAGACCGCGTATACCACGCTCTTCTCTACAAAGGTGGTGCCGACCGAGCTCACCACTTACATTACCAACACGGTGCCGGTACAGCCGACAGTTCCGGCGTACCCCGGGTACTATCCGCCACCGGTGCCCTATCCACCTTACCCCTTCGTCGGTTAGATCTCGATCTGATTTTCGAGATTCCTCGGAGATTTTCGCAATCTGCTTTGATTGCGATCGATCGCCAGTTATAGATTCATCTCTCTTTGAGAGATTTAAATTTTAAGTTTTGATAAGTGCTAAAAAAATAAGAGAAACAGACAGTTGTTTGACTTGGTACAAAATAAAACTGATACGATTTTTAAGTGTAAACGTTACAGTTTTATTGATTTAAATGTTTAAGTCTTGCTCAATTCTCGAGCATGAATGTTGTACATCTCGCACGCATTGGTTTTATTTACGTTTGTTACAACAATTGATCGCAATCAGATGGCATTGGAAATTATTGTAAATAAATTATTGACTATATATATTATATTGTATATCGTACATTTGTATGTATACCGCGTATTTTTTGTAAATAAATAAAACAAAAACATGAATTTTCCCATCGTGTTACTTAACAAATCTAGATCCCCTGAATATACGAAATGTAAGAAATTTATTTCTTGCCGATTTCTAAAAATGTTTAAACATATATTTTTGTTTTCTGTCTTTCAATACATTTTTATTTTATGAGATAATTACGATTACATCGAATATCAAAACAATATCTCATATTTCTGCAATTATTATCTATATTTGCTATTTGATTATCATTAATTTTAAGTTTTAATTAATATCTTAAAGTCTAATATATAAAACTATTATATAAATTAATATTTTTTTATTGTTAAAATTTTTTTTTAAACATATAAATCTAATTATTCGGGAGATAATCGAAATTGAACGTTTTAATTTCGTTCAAAAATACGAATTAACAAAAAGAAATCATTTATTATAGCGCATATAAATATGCAGGTTGTAGAATAAAACAATAATTGGCATTTTAAAGATCTGCCAATATGTTTTAAAGAATGACAATAAAAAAACTCTAAAAAATAAAAAACAATAATAAAAGTCCATATTAACTTTCTACTAATGTCAAATAAAAAGTAATCATAGACAACAGTGACACTTAGAAAAAGTCAATAAGTTTTAAACATCGGAATAAATAACACAGAATAAAAACTCCATTTAACGTCCATTAGATGTTAACAGCTCTATACGATATTTAATAGATATCTAGTGGAGTTTTTGTTCTGTGTACGGATATAATGTATATATTTGGTTATCCTACATGAAGAATAAAAAAGTACAAAACCGTAAATGAGTGAAGATAAGTTCGCGATGCGTTGAAAAAAAACTTTAGAAAAACACTTTAGATGTGAAATTGATACGTTTTAGTTTATAAAACCATTTAAATTACGATACCTATTACCGTACCTATCACTACACCTATTATTATACTAATTACTATACCTATTACTATATTTATATTTACCTGTGACAAAGAAAATTACGATCATATAACATCTAACGCTTGAAGGGCATGGAGTCCTCTTCTTTCTTGATTGCTCGTATTAGCGTTAACGTTAGTACAGCTATAATCACCTAAATAATAAATAAAAAAAAAACAGATATAATTAATGCAAAGGCGATGAAGAAATAACTGAATTGTGATAGAAACAAATATTTCTCTCTCTTACGTTAAGAAAACACAACATCATCCCCAAACCAGCAAGCCATGCGGTTTTTCCCTCCAAAAACCAAGACAGTTCGTCGACGCAACCGTGGTGGAAGGCATTTCCGGTAACGGTATCTCGGCATTCAGTCGGTAACGGTTTACGCAATCGTATGTAGTCTCTTGGTCCATTAGCACCGCAGCATCCGATCTATATTATTTGTCGCGTAGAAATACACAAAAATTTAATTATTAAGATATACATAAGCTAGTTTTTTCTTTCAAGAAAAAAATCATAATAGTCTTTCTTACAGTTTCCTGAATTAGTCTGAGAATGCGACTGGCCATTTCCTCGTGGGAGTTACTAATGAGAGTGTACATAGACCGCGCAATAATTGGTTGAATCTGACTGTCATACGTTGAGTAATCGAGTATAACAGAAACTCCAGCTAGACCGCAGATGAAAGAAAGCACTTGAAGACCTACGTGCTGTAGAAGTGAGCGAGAAAAATCAATTTTCGAAAATCTTGAAAAGAATAATTTTTAAACTTTAAATTATTTAATTATAAAAAAAAAAAAAAATAAAACAAGTTTTATAATTCAGTATGTTGTGACTCGATCATTGAATTATATACTTGAGATGTGACAGTATCAAGTTAATTTACATAAGATTGAGAAATAAAAATCGTTTTTAATAATGCATTAATTAAAAAAAAATAAGATCAAGCAGTTTGAGAATGAATTTAGTAGAAAAATTTTTTTTTAACTCTAAATTTCTAAATTATTATTTTCTTCTAACATTGTTTCAAATTGAAAAATAAAAATGCTTACAATAAATAGAGCCAGTATGTTCTCCATAAGAGCTGCGGCGCAACCGATGAAAGCAATAGCCATGACAACAACGGAAGTAAAAATAAGAACGTAAATTCCGATGTAAAATTCATACATATTCAGAAACTCGACCCATTCTTCGAGCATTGGTTCGAATCGCATCCAAATCGACAGCACGAACATCGCACAACCGAGAATCTTTTCGCAAAATAAAAAACAAAGTTTTTGTTAATTGCACGTTAAAGATTAAAACTTAGAGAAAAAAAATACAATTATACATTTCATTTTTGTCGCAAGATATTTTTTCACTCATTTCACTTTTTTCTCTCAATTTATTTTCTTTGTTTTTATTATGTACGTAATTTAAATTGCTTATGTTTATTCTCAAAAACTCACGTAGCTAAAAAATTTATAGCTTTTTAATTCACATAAAAAAAATATCATATCACATTATTCACTATCACAAGTGTCTACACAAGACGACGCAATCAGTAACGATAAATTCCGCGCATACACCTACCCATACGATTGTGTTCAGACAAAAGATTGTGAACTTGATGCAACCGATTTGCTTCTCCAGCTGCGGTCCCGAACTTTTGCCTAACGCCATCCTCGCGGAAGATTTTTCGCAAGTTTACGCTTCAACAAATCCGTTATTTCGGGATTGCGGGACGATGAAACAAAAATGTAATTCACCGATCGAGAACAGGTATCGTAATATCATCTCTTACGTTGCGACGGTTTATCACTGGTAAATATAAAACAGAGATAAGTGGATAAGGGCGTACTAGATAAAAAGTAAACCACACATCTCTGATATGAATCATTTTTCGTGGTATCGATATATGTGTAATTTTTCTAAAACTTCAGCAATTCTTAATCAGCGTGGATAAAGACAATGTTGATTCGCTAAATAAAACATTAATATAAAACTATAATCACAATTCAGTGTGATATAAATTAAATCAGCTTCAAATCCAATGAGTAAGACACGTGCGCGGTTGCATAAACCGAATAGGATATCGAACCGTGTTTTTTATTTACAGTATCTATTACAGACAATTATAATAATAAAAATACTTTTGATTAATTTGTGCTTGGCAATATATAAATTACAAAAATCCATTGTCGCTCTCAGCCACAAACCACGTTCAATTCTGAAATGAATAGAATCGCGAAAGATTAATAGAAATCCTCCTCCGTGACCTTTGATCCCGACGTTTGATTCTTGATCTGTTCTTGATTGTAATACATATCAGCGACCTGCTGGGCGGAAGTGGCCTCCTCGCAATTCTTGTCCTCGCGAATTCTAATAAATCGCGGAAACCTCAACGATATTCCCTTCTCCGGATCAACCTGAACGAAACAAAATTGTTATTTTACAAATTCACCTTTATCACGATCTTTTTGCTTCAACTCACTATTCCAACGGCCGCCTTGTGAACGGGCGAGAGGGAGAGATCGGCGCATTTGATCTCCCAGATCTGGACCGGCTCGAACCAGTGATCCGGCTCGTGGCTACTATCGAAACGGTAGTACGATTTCGCCTGGGGTATCACGTGATCCTTGAGGAATTTCGTGTGATTCTCCAGATCTTCATCTTTAAAGCCTGTGCCGATCTGATCGCAAGGAAGCAACACACATTAGTACGAAGTAGAATGCAATATGTAAAGCAAGCAAAGTTTAACTTGCAAAATTTATTATCATATTTGTAATAAGATCTTGGATATAAAATTTTGCGTTACAATTGCATGACGTTCGTGGACATTGTGAGAAACATACTTTGCAGATGCTCTGATACTCCTCGTTTTCCTGATCGTAACAAGCCAAGAGAAAACCGCCGTATGTGCCAGTTCTCTTTCCCTTGCCGGTGTAACCACCGATCACAACCACGTCGAGCGTATCGCCGACGCTGTCCAAGTAATCCTTCTTCAATTTCAACCAATTTCTCGAGCGTTTCGCGATTTCGTAGGTTGCCTCTTCCTCCAGCGTTTTTACCATTAGACCCTCGCAATTTCCCTTCACGGACTCGTTGAGAAAAACTTCCACTTCCTCCATCGTCGTGGTATCCATGCTATTAGCGAACTTCCACTCGCCCTCCACTTCTTTGAAGTGCTCCTTCAGCAACTCGCGGCGTTTCGAGAACGGTTCCTTCACCAACGGCTCGTCGTTCAAGTACAAAAGATCAAACATGAACACGCATACCTGCACTTTAATGTCCTCCTCGTTGGCGTCCTGAAAAGAACGTTTTTTTATTTATGCAAAATAATAAGAAATCAGACGTAGAAAAAAGAAAATTTACAAATTTAATAATTACAAGAATAGTGGCAATTAAAATTTATTTAAGACAATCATGACAATAAGTTTAATTATATTTCCTTTCTCGCAAATTACATTACCTTTCGTTTTCTCGTGCTAAGTACTTGGAACGGCAAGATCTGATTCTTCTCTTTGTCCCAGGCGACCGCTTCGCAGTCGAGTATGCAATTTTTTACCGAATCGCCGCGAGTATTTTTAAATCGATTAATGATATCCGGATATTTGCTAGTATTGTTCTCTTGATTCCTACTGTAAATACTAATTTTGCCGTCGTTCGAAACGTGTATCTGTCGAGTGTGTTTTAACATAATTAATTAATTCCTTCCTCTCATTTTATAAATTTTTTTCTGAAACATTTTAATCTTCACATGCAAAGCTTCCGAAATAAAAACCGACAAAAACCTGTGCTCTTTCCCCGTCGTACTTCCACTCGCACGTGAATTTCAAGCCGTCGAATCGCGTAAGAACTTCCTGAACACCTTTTGTGGGATGCGCCAGCATAGGTTTCAAAGGTATTCCAGGAGTGAGCTTGCACTTGTTGGGTAGAGCTTTAACGCCGTCTTCCAGCAAAACAGGAATTATAATGTCGTAGTTTGGACATTCGCTGTCAACAAAATCAGTTTTTAAAAAATGATACGTTTTTAAATACTTCGAATACAAATTCCGAAGTAAATCTCACCAATAGGTTGTCTTCAGTATAAGCGCTATTTCGTCATATCGCTCTTTGAAGCGATCCTTCGACATTGTTTTACTCATGTCCAGATTTTCTGGTGGGTAAGTTTGTTCCGGTGGTGTAGTTACGCAAGCTAGAGCCAACGCCTGAGAGCAACGAAAAATATCCGTTAATAACATCGATTAGAATAGCAACAGTCCGAGAGACTTACCTGCAAAACGGATTGCTCTGCCAGTCCGATGCGAAGTTTCCCGGCTAACGATCTAATAAGATATCTCGCCTCGCTATTACGACACGCCATAAATAGGGTCTGAATCTTGTCCAGCTTTTTTCCTAAAGACTGAAAGAAATCTGTGAGTTTATAAAAAAAAAATGTTTGCTTGATTTTTTTCAAAACATGTGGTTTTAATTGTGACATTGAGTTCAAGAACATTCTGTTTTATTGTATGCAACAACAAAAAAAACTCTAAATTCTAAGAAAAATAAAATTACCGCTTGCCCAGTCATTTGAGCGATCTCTTTCAGTTTGGAATATACATTGGAAACCGTCAACGGCGCTGGTTGGAACATGGTTCTCTGATTGGATCTGCTGCCTTCGGCTACGAGCCCGCAATCGCCGACCCTCTTTACATCGGCTTTAACCTGAGCCAGCGTTCTTCCAGTGCACTGCGCTATCGCCTTCATTAGATTCGTGTCAGCAACTCCGAGCTCAATTCCTACGGTGCAATATAAATATTGATATAAATATAAATATGTACTTATATATATAGTGCCAGTACTCACCTTCGTATGCCGGCGCAAGTTGATTAAGGCACAAATATACACTCGGCAAAAGATCCGTCGGACTCAGAACTATGACAGATCGAAAATAATTCGACAATATCTCTATTATCTTCAGCCTGGCGCTCGTCTCCTCAATGAGTTCCAAAGTGCGCGTGAACGCGCCATATGGCGTTCTACAAAGCAAATTTTCAAAAAAATTGTCACATCCAAAAACGTTTTGCTATAAATTGCAAATTCTTAAATCTACTTTGTATAAATTTAACTTACTTATCACCTCGTTTCCAACACGCACTATTTATCGGATCGTACTTAGATGCGATAGGATTGTAAGATTGATTGTTACTTGTTTCATTTGCTTTCTTATCATTTGTTTCGCTTTTCGCATTATCTTCTTTCACTGTGCCAAGATTTCCATTTTTGCTTTTTGCATCTTTATCTTTTACATTTTTATTTTCTGCATCTTTGTCATTTTGTTCGAATACTACAATAAAATGTTGAAAAAATAATACATGTATGTACATATATTTCAAGCATAACATAATTGAATGAAATAAAAATATACCTGATTCCTCAGAAGACTCCGAATCATTTTCCGTATCATCTTCCTTCGCTGTGCTAAGATCTATTTTTTTCTTTTTTGCATCCTTATCTTTTGTATTATCATTTTGTTCAGATACTATAGTGAAATGTTGAAAAAAAAAAGTAATATATGTATAAATTTTAAAAGCGTAACATAATTGAATGAAATAAAAATATACCTGATTTTGCGCAAGACTTTGCTTCATTATCTGTATCATTTTCTCTCACTGTACTAAGATTTTTTTTCCTCTTTTTTGCATCCTTTGCGTTAGTATTTTGCTTAGATGCTACAATAAAATGTTGAAAAAAAATAAAATGACGTATGTACATTTCAAGCATAACATAATCGAATGAGATGTAAATACCTGGTTTTGCTCGAGACTTTGCACCTGGAGATGGAGTTTTGGAAGCAGTCTTGGGTTTCTTAAGATTAGTATTCAAGTTCTTCTTTAAGGGAGAACTACAGTTTTCAGAAAAGTATAATAAGTATATAAATATTTGTATAAAAAAAAAAAAATTATCAACAATAATAGACAAAAAGTTCTTCTTCAAAAGAATTTAATAAATTACCTGACAGGTTCGATACTTTTGTCTCTCTTACGTTTACTATTTCCCAATACGTCCTTCTTCTCTGACAAGTTGCTGTTGGTTGTATGTATCCGGTTAAATATGACAGTAAATCGGCTGCGAGCCGCGGCCGCAAACTCGAGACGTCGAGTCCGCAAAGCCAGCGACCACGTTACGTGCGACCAAGTCGCGAGGGTTTTTAACATAATAATAAATTATTATAGAGCAATTTACCTCTCTGAGTTATCCTGATTAGAAATCTTCTCCTTGGACGATATTCTACTGAAGAAGGAACTGAAAAAAAAGGATCGAACGAATGCACAACAAAATTGATTAAAAAAATTATCGGAATATCACACTGTCGCAATTATTAACTGTTATTAATGCGATCTTGAATAATCGTTCAAATGCGTTATTATTGCAATATTTTACTCACTCTATACGACGCTGTGTCATTGTCGCGCCGTTGGTTTTTTTACTACGCGCAATAACGCGCAGTTGAAAGATTTCCCGCGTTTATCTGACAACTCGCACAGGTTAAGTTCCTTTTTAAGGTTAATTTCTCGCGACGATTCGCAATCGTAGGCCGGATCCACAATGTTCAATCGCAATTTGGAGCCTTGGACAAGAACGTATAAAACGCACCCAAGACCGCTCTGCTTTCTGCTCATATGACTTCGAGTTTCGTGGTCAGAAATTGTTCCAAGTACTACGAAATCGAACGATTTTCGTCATATTCTGTGAATCTTGTTCGTTCGCGAAAAATACAAACATGCTCGGTAGATTGATCTCCGGTATATTCCAATCCATACCGTAAGTACCTGGGTCTTTACACGTGTGTTTTATGTTATTTCAGAATAACCTTAAATCAGATATGTATTTGTAATAAAAGACGCAATTTTATTGATTTTTATTAAAACAATTTAAAAAAAATGTAAATTATTACTTTTTATCAAAAGTCGAATCAGTCGTCATTCAATGAACGCGATTTATCCGTAGCGTACAATTGTTTTTTTTTGTTTTTGTTTCAGACGGACAGGCGTTTCGAGCCAGATCACCGCTGCGAACGTAACACAAATTTGGAACCCGTGGAGTCTGACGTCTGTGAGAAATATCGTGAGATATCACTTTCCTCACCCGAACGAACGAAAACGTATCAAGAGACACGGTTGGTTGGCCAGGCTAAAAACACCAGGCGGCAGAAAAATCCTCCAAAGACGAATTTTAAAGGGCAAACATGTGCTCAGTCACTGATCACACACATTACACATGTTATTTATGCAATTAATATGAGAACGTAACAACAAATACACATTTACTTGTTAGTCAATTGAATATCGTTTTTTTATTACAATTGTAACTTATAACGAAACAATTGTTGTGTGTTAACTACCTATTTGTTTCGTGTGTTATCCACATATTGTCTCTGCTTTTGTTACTACTTCGTTATTATTTACTGTTTCTTGCTCCGTACCATCATCCGCGTACGACACATTTTTGAACATCAATTGTTTGCAAGTCCAATCGAAAGGATGGATTATCGGCGCTTCCAATATTAAATCCTCCTTCTTCACGCCGAAGGAAGGTAAAATCATGCTTCTCATATGAATGTGAGTTGGAATAATCTCTTGTTGACTTTCTCTCACGTTCAGCAAATTTAACAATTCTTTGTTTATCTTCGGAAAATTCAGAGTGGATTCAGCGAACGGATCAACTTTCATCCACGTTCCCATCATTTCGTAAACTCGCGATCCGTGATAATTGTCACCAAGAATCGGACTGTACAACATAGTGGATGCGAACAGTCTGATGCTATGCCACTTTCTTGTAGACGCGTCGATTTCTATCAGAGAACTCAGATTGTACGTTGAATTGGATAGAATCTTGTAGTTTATATTCAGAATTTTAGCGTCATCTCTTTTGATTGCGTTGTTGGACCATTTTGTAACGATAACGGGCTGAAATATCGATCAATTCTTGCAAACAATTATACGCACAAAACAGATTTGTACCGCATACTTTCACAACGATATTACCTTTTTGCCTCCTTTTGGCGATGTTTTTAAAATCATTGCCAAGTGATGCTTTCCACTGATGGTGTTTGGAACTCTAGTTGTAACCACCCAGTACTTTCTGTATAGCCCATGTGATATTCGTTTTTTTGCTTTGTCTACTTGCTTGCACACTTTGTCATCAGTTCCAAAGACATAGATACCAGTCATATATCTGTATTAAGAACACAAGCAGTTTGTAACAAAAATTCAGCAAAAGAAAGAAAAGAAAAATGAACTCGATATACTTTTCTGCTCCTGTACAGGGTATTAGTTGCGGTACATCTAATTCTTTTGCAAGATATAGGAGAACATCTTTTATGCTATAATTTACTTCTCCCACAATCATGTGACACCTTTTTGACTTGTTCTCAAGTTGGTTCTGTTGTTGGATATTACTTACAGCTATGCCATATGGTTTGTTTATTGCAATTAATCCATCTGAAGAACATTTGCATGTTAATAATACAGAAATGTCTCATATATATACGTGAAGTGTTTTTATCAATTATTAATATATATACAATATTATTCTTACACATAAAAAAATTAATATTAAATAACTTGATATAAATAATGTGTCATCAAACTGATGTCAGTTTCTCAATCTCTTGTTACAACTCAGAGTGCGCTATATTATAAAAAAGAATATATATGTTTTGTAAAAGTAATATTATTTACCCTTATTGTAAATAACATTCTTCACTAAGTTATCTGCAAATTCCTTTTTTGACTCCCACGGATGAATCTGGCGGTATGGATGAATTATTTTCTTCTTTTTTGGTAACCTGTATTCCTCCTCATTGGCGGTGCAATATCGTCTACAATACGTGCGACACGCTGCCGCGAACTCGCCGATTCGCCTATTTGCGAAATTTATCGCATTTCTCATGTTTTCCACAAAACAGTTTTCTTTCTTTCTCTTGTGTTTCCTTTCTTTTTTACAAAAATCTCTAACAAAATACACAATACAAATATAGAAATAACAATTCGTTGATTAAGTTTTTAACATGCCTTTTTTTAGCTTCATCGTAGCGAGTTTTTGGCACGTTAATGTCAATTTTTTTAATAAAATAATTTAATACGCTTAAATGTAAACTTTTTCATTCTTACTTGAAAGTTTAATTTTCCAAACATTTAATCGAAGAGATACTTGATGAAAATCAAATTCAAGATAATTTTTATGCTTGTTTAAAAACAAACGACAATTCGTTCATCCCATGTTAATTCGACAAATAGTTTTATTAATTAAAAGTGAGCAATGTACGTACAAAATAGCACAAAAAGTTACAACATCGGCTTTCTTGTTGTTGACATGTGCACTCCTAACCTAATTTGTCCCGGTTTGGTTGGTTTGGGGCGCATATGGCTCTTGAACCGATTAGAGCTAGTCCATACGCCATTCTGTAAATCCTATCTTGTCCCTAAGCACTTTACTGATAACAGAAAGAAGCGTGAGAGCGGCCATAAGAAAATGCGTAGTCACTATTCCGCTCCGTAAACAGCGCATGTCCGCTGGTGGTGCGCACTGGAACTACGCAGCGCATGCCCACGAGCGACATGTCGGTACGCCATGTTCACAGCGTGCGGTTCTATTCTGTGCACGAGTCCAAATAGTCACCTTTTTCAAGTGTGTGAGTATAATCGCGAGCGTGAATTTGATTTCTCTCTCTCTGCGTATAAAAAACATTTGACCACAAATCGTTGTAATTACAAAATCCCTACAATCAATCGATTGGATGGGAGTTTTGCGACGACTTGCCACTTGTGACCATTGTGGATGAGACCCAAGTTGGCAGCAAAGCAAGATGGACGCGCACGTTGGTGTACGTTTGTGTGAAAAAGCCGGGAGAACATTTTGTACCGTGTATCTTGTACTACATATATATTTCTTATATTTTTACTTTGTTTGAAAATAAAAGAGTGTTTACTTCTTGGTTTTCTCTTGATAATATTTGACATTTTTGTGAAGATTAAAAAATACAAAAGAAAAGAATCGTTGGTTTTCATCGTACGTCGAAACTTGTATATATGAGATTGTATTGCATGTACACAACACAACATATAAACACGTGATTATTTTCTTGATTGAGTCATGAGTGGACATGAATTGAGATCAAAAGCATTTAATCGCGCCGCAAACAATTTGGTGAATAAATTGAATGCTACATTTCTAAAAAATTATCCTCATCATGTAATGCCTGGTTACAACATGAACAAATTATCAGTTACGAAGCAATGGAATGAAGAAACTGCACTGGAGTTTTATCAAGAGTTTCCATATAGCTGTGAATTACCTAAACCATTATTGCCCCCAGCAAGGTTGCCAAGAACAGGTAATTAATATAACATTTAATGTAACATTTTATTGTGAAGAGTATATGATGTAAAATTGTGTACCAAGTATAATATGTCAAAATTTTGCAGTACTTAGTGAAGAAGATCCAATCTTGCAGCTTCTTGCTGTCAAAAGCCATTTAAAAGATGATTTGAAAAGGATAATGAATTATTATGAAAAACACAAGCAAGGTAGATGCATACAAAAAAAAAAAAAATCTAAAGTAAGTTTTCTTTATTATAATACATTTTTTAATAAATTTGTATCTTAATAGAATTTGATAAAATAAAGAAGAGAATAAAATGGAACAGAGGACATAATGGATATAGTGCACAGATACCTAGATATATTGCAGATATAGCAGAACTAATTGATATGGATCCTGATCCTTCTTTTGAAGGGGTAAGAAACTACTCTCTCTCTCTCTCTTTGAAACTGTTTTTTATTCTATAAGAGCTATGTTCTTTATTTGAAAATATAAGACTTGTTTGCACAGAATTGAGTATATAAACACAGAATGTAATAATTTGTATTTTCTACAATATAAAATGTTATTTCTAATAAAACATTTTTCAGACTTATAACTGGTACTACACCGGTGGATCATTAAGTCATGTTTGTCTTAATGGCTGGGATGTTCTAATATTTCCGTTTATGGGAGAATTAGGTACATGTGCACACAATATAATTAGTATAAACGTAATATAATTTATTCTTATGTGATTGCAAGAGTGAAATTTAATGAAATGTTCTCTTTATCAGTTAACTATTTTCAGTCGCTGCACACATTGCATCCATGGGCGATTTCATATGGAAGCCAATAATGAAAAATTCAGCAAAGTGTGAATTGAAAAATGGATTGAAATTATATGAAACTAGACAGAGTAAAGTTAATAATACATGTATGTTGCCGTCGCACATGTATATGTGCGTCACATATTTACATTTCAAAAACGTGCAAATATATTCTAAAAACTCTTTTTATGTGAAAAAATAATTCACATACATATTTAGGCCGAATTTTAGGAAGGTATAAAAATTATTGCACTTTGTATATGCTCTCACATTCTGAGGATCATTTAAAACTTGATGAAATTCACCAGCAAGCAATTAAAATACCGTATATCAGTGCTGATTTGAGCTTGACTGACAACAGCCATCATTGCACACTAAACATAGAAGGAATATTGTCTTTATGGGATATAAACAGAATGTAAGTTTCTTTTTTGTTTTTTTAATTCTTTGGTGTTTTCTCAATATCTTTGATGGTTTCTTCTCTCTTTAGATTTCCTATTAGCACTGGTTCTGTACCGAAGAATATTTATGATCCTTGGAGGTGTATAAGATATCAGGAAATGGATGCAAATATTTTAATTTGCGTGGACAGATGTTGTTTACATTATCTCGATACCAGAGTAAGAAATAAAGAAATGTTGAACACAAGTAATTACTATTTTTAAATATTTGCGCTTGTACGATATCACTCTGTCTTGTTGAATATTTTTACAGATTGCTGTTGATTCGCCATGTCTTACATTGTGCCCGAAAGGTAATTTGGAAAATTGCGAGATACTTTCAATAGAAGCACCGAGTAAAAACGGTTATTGCCGATATTTGGGTACTTCTCATTCTTTTCTGACGTATGACAGTCGATCTCCGAATCAGTGTGTACGTCAAAAATGGACGCATCAGTTCAAGGACACTCCGTTATTAGCGGCCGTAACTACCAGGTAAATAATATAGTAAATAACCGTATGAATTATATTTATTTTTTTTATATTTTATTTATGTAATATTACATATTAATATTTCGTTTAATTAATTAATATTAATTTTTCGATATTATTATATTGTATTTTTTATATCAATTACAGTGACTATAACGAAATTATTGTCTTATCAAGTCAGAGAGTCGGCGAGAACGCAATAATTTTGAATACTTGGCTAGACAAGGAAGTATCTCATTCCTTTAATTTGCCTTTTGTGCCTCCAAGCATCGTGGAAACGCTGAATGCTTCTCAAGTTCAAGGATTATGCTTAAATCCATATCTGAAAAACAGATTTGAATTGTGCAACGCCGGTAGCACATTGGTTTCAAGTACAGGAGAACTGTTTTATTTCGTTCAAAATTCAATTGGTACGAATTTTTCTTCTAAAATAGTTTCTTCGTAATTTTCACTAATGTTTTTCATGCTTGTTTGTTTCTATAAAAAAAAAAATATATTTTTATTATTTTTAGGTGATATATTTTATCAGTGCATAACGCACGAAGACGCACTGGACAAATATTCTCCCGTAAACAACAAATCTTGTTACGCTTTAGATGTATGGGCCAAGACTCTGTCGAGTCAATCCGAGCCGCTTGTACCTTTGGCGCTTACTAAGAAGTGCAATATGCAACACATATATGAAAGTATGTGAAACAAACTCAATCTTCGTAAATATAGTTTTCTACTTTTATGCGACACAAACTACAGAAAAATAAATTTACAGATTTTACCAATAGAAAGTTACGTTTGAAAACCGATCGAGAGATCGCGGATTCTTTCGAACTGATTTGGAAACAATCGTTGTCAATGTTGGGATCGTATGTCGATTTATTAGCGCCGGAGCTTCTCGCGGTTTGGGAAATGCGCGAAGAGCTAACGGCGCCGGTAGTGACGGGATTTAATCAAAAGGTGATCAACTGGCTGGAATCGTCGACAGCAAATGTACCTACGCAGTCGCAAGATGACGAGGAGTCGTCTACACCTGTAGTCAATACTCAAGAATTAATCAGTGTATCTCAGGAATACAATCTCGCATACATCGAGGACAGCGATATGCTGCAAGACATGCTGTTGCCAGGAATTAGATCAGGACCAAGACAAGCAACGTTTAGTCAGAACAGATAGTTTTATAATAAAGACATGTACATATGTACATAATCAAAATTTTTCTGTTTATATTGTTTATAACATACAAACAATATAAACGTAAACAAAAAAAAGTGTAAATAAATTACATGACTTTGAAATATTACTTATTTTATTATGATAAAAATGGTACATTAATATACTTATTAATATACTTATTATTATTATGTGTGATTATATTTAATGTTTCACGAGGTAAAATTATTTTTGCGAAAGTGTATTCAAGAAAGATTTACATTCCAAATTTCAAATGTTTTATTTTATGACTAGCGATTCCGTAAGAAAGATGGTTTCCACCTCGATGTAAGTACTTGATTGGTTTCTTGCTGAGCTTTATTTTGTTCTTCCTCGATCTGCCAATCATTTTTATTATTGTCAAATGTCCATTTTTATTATTTTCAAATGACACACGTATGTTTTATAACTTACGTCTACAACTTACCATTAATTTCTGAACGTTCTGTTTAAACACTTCCAGCGGATTATCAAATTGTCTGTAGTAATTCAGAACGTCTCGCACATCTTGTACATTCGATGATAATATTGCTAAATAATAAAAAATTGTGCGTGTTCATATTATCATCAGTTAGTGAAGATTACAGATAACGACGCTAATATTTTATGTAATAAAATCGACATTTGCAGCAAAACTTTATAAACAATGTTTTAATCTTACTCTTTAGGAATGCCGCTAAATCGTACATAGTAGTGTCATCATCGTTACCCTTCCACCGAGGGATTTTAAATGCATTTTCCGGATTCAACTTCACGCTATCTTCATTCCAGTCGATAACAATAACCTATGATTGATAATTGAAATATGAGAAAACAATAAAAAAGAAATCATGTATTTCTTAATACGCAGCAATAGTTACTTTACTAAGATCACGATTAAGAGCCCCAAGATCTTTAACATGATGTCCATCCACAAAACGTGTAGCATCTCTAACTAATCTGTACATAATGTAACCATTTGGATCAAGTGCGTCCAAAATAGGAAATACCGTCTGCAATTGAAATTAAGAGAAGCTTTTTTTCGTCGGAGAGATGTGTTTTAGAAGAAATATAAAAAGATTTAAAAAACAAATTTACCATTCCTTGTTCAGCTGTATAAACCACAATTTCAAACTGTGGTGGTGCAACTGCTTCCAAGAACATGTCTACTCCAGGTCGTTTTTTAAATCTCCATCCAGTTTGATACTAAAACGTTACATTTTTTGAATAAATCAATTTGTATTAAATTTATGTGAAAATGTATGAAGTCTTTCAAATTAGAATCTTACTGTCCAATCTGGGTGTACCAGAAGGTCTGTCAGTTCCAAGACTAGAGTATAAGGTGGTTGAATGTATGGATACTTGAGTGGGTCAGGTAATAACTTTTCTCTGCTGGGTTCTTGCACTAACTAGGAAACACATAATAAGCACTGCATATACTAAATGTAAAAATATAAAATTTTTCACAAGTTTGTACGTCAAATGTAACTGATAACTAAATTTAACAAAATACATTGAGCAGAAAAAAAACAAATTATTTTAGTACGCAACAAAATGCTGATATATAATGAGTTATAAAAAAGTGTCATACTCTTGTATAATAATTCAGTTCTCTCTTCACCCTCTTGAATCTTTGCTCAAAGAATGGCAAATGGGAGAATTCATCCTCAATGACTTTCCCATTCTCGTCATAGTTAGGTCTTCCTAATTCATACACTAAATAAGCAACACCAATACCCATGAACACACCGAAAGCCGCAAATCCGTAGTTCATCATTCTCTTCGATCTTTCAAGATTTGCCTTGTCCTCTTCTTCCTGCGTTTGTTCTTCATTCTGTTTTTTGTGAGCTGTTTCCAAGACGTCAGCTTCGCTTATAGAGGATTGTATGTTTGTTAAATTACTGGTAACTTTTGGACGATCTGTCGCTGTGTGCGTGAAAAGAAAAGAGAAATCCCGGTTTTTGTTAATTTATATATTATATATTGTCGCACAAAAATTCCATTTAGATGTCAACAGTTTGATGCGATGTCCAATAAATGTCTAGTGAAGATTTTTGTTCTGTGTGAGTTTAATTTCATTTTTTATTACGAAATATTTTATAAAGTATATATATAAGAAATTTTAGAACAAATAGCTTCCGTAATCGATACAAGTTTTTTCTGATTGAGTGAAGACGTGACATTTATTCCTTCGCACAAGTTTTTTACTGTCATAATTCGTGATGTTTATTATTTAATTGTTATATATTTTAATTATCTTAATGATACCAGGCTTTCGGTGTAAAAAGGTTATGATTGTACTCACTCTGTGTGGTATAACGATAATTTTGTGCTATTTGAACGAGCGGTATCCGATTGTTAACACGTCGAAGAGTGCAATACGTCGTTCCCGCATTTCCATTGTATATTTTACACAAAATCCGCAGGCTTCTCGTTGCAAATGCCATGCTTTAAAAAAAGAGATCATCCGGCACATTTACATCATTCGCACGCGGAATCTCGTTTATTTGCGCAAGAAACGCTGTCGGTAAATGCGATCATCTATTTTGTCGATCGACGACAATTTAGAAAATTGTTATATTTTTAATTAACTCGCATTGCGCGTAAAATTAGATACAAGTTAATCAGAATTTGAAGAAAAATTATTTAACACAAAAATATCATTTGTTAAAAATCTTAACTTAATTTTTTTTTTCTCTCTCTCTCTCTCTCTCATCCCTATTTGATTCAATCAACGCGCTGAAGTTGTCGCGCAAAGATCATCGAACAGGTAACGCGCGTTGCGAGCGCGCCACAAACTATTTTATTTTTCTTTTCAAATCTCTCTCATTTCCGTCTCGTATTTCGTTCAAATTCGTCTACTTTCACGCGACGGACCGCCGATTCGTCGCGATATTTTGCGCGTGTGACAAATATTCCGAGAATGAAGCGATCGTCGAGCAATCAAGGTAAGCGCGATCCGATTTCAACGACAAGCCCTTGATTCGTTCATTTTCGTCGAGAATATCCGAGAGTATTATTTCGCGAGCGTCAAATCGTAACGCGCAACACAGAATCGGCCGAGTTCAGCGCGGACATTTTGCAAGTCGGTGTTGTTTTCAAGCGTTCTCTGTGTTTTTGTTTTTTCGATACCTTTGCATTGTTTTGCCACCGAGTTCTTCAAACTCGCACGCACACATCGGTCCGGTCTGGATCGGTCTGTGTTTTGTCAACAATTCGCGTAATCGTGTCGCGCGTCGTTTTTTTATACGCGGAAATTGATTCTCATCGTACGGATGACGTATTATTACGAGTTATCGTACAGATAATTCATAGTTATAGTTGAAATTTGCTTAGAATATTTATCATTACATGTTTATTAATCATATTTATTTTTGTAGCTTCCAGGAAGTAAAACCAAGCTGCAAAAACTACGACGCGTGATAACGTCCGCGTACAGGACGCGCGCGGGTAGAAGCGACGCCAATCAGTACGTTGCTTTTCTGCAAGATCAAATGATGATTGGCTATCGAGTCGCGTCTCATCACCCCGCGGTTTGTCCCAAAGAAGCCGCAAACTCGACGTGACCTGTCCTTGTTGCGCGACCGAGGCGTCTTGCAGTAGTGCAGCCGTTTGTTAAGTCCGACGATGGCGAAGTAGTAAGTAGTTGAACATTTATTTAAGTGTGCCATATAAAAAAGTACATACATATGCACACAATGCAGTTCAATTCATTTGTCACAAACGCAGTGTCGCGTTTATACGTGAGGAAATTTTTCCTTTTATTCGCGAGTTTCTTTGTCGTGTAAATAATAAATAATGCATATCATATAGTCATTATAGTCAATACAAGACATTAATGTCTCGTAAAGAATAATATCGCACCGCACGTTGGAAAACGCGCAGATGCGTTTTTCGCGTGTAGCGCGCGCGCGCACGTGAGATATGACCGGAACGATTTTGTGTCGGGAAGAGAAAATGTAGACGTACTTGATTTTCCCCCGTAACTAATGAACATTTTTCATTGTTTTTCGTAATTCTTGTTCCCGCGCGCGCGCGCGCGCTTTGTTTTCCCGTCTCCTCGGATTTGTCATCCCTACTTTTAGCTGAATCCTCCTCGGATTTTCTTCTCTCTCTCGCGAGCGGTATCTTTTTACCGTCGTCGTGGTCGCGGATACGAAATGGTCAAATGCGCGGCATTACTCACGCTAATTAAGCAAGAAAACGCTACCGGCCATTAGGGTTGCGGAGGAAAATATTTGCGAAGAAATTCCTAGCGAGGAAAAAGGAAAAAAATCCTACGCGCGCATCTCGACGCTTTCTAAGTTCTTTCTTAAACTTATAAAAATTTTGAAAAGAAAAAAAAGAGAACCAAATGAGTGAACGTTTTCAAATCGATTTTATAATTGATTTTCGCAAATTGCGATGGATTTTTCACGCGAAGTTTGCGGCGATCATCGGTCTGAATTGACGCGGGACCCATTGTGATTCCATTGGGTTATCTCGTTAATCATGATTAAGTAAATTTCATAGTCCAGCCATTAATATTACAGTGAGTGATGTCGCGCGGATGTCCACAAAATTCCCCCGGCTAGTATGCAATGCATGCACTGACCGCCGACAACCGCCACATCGTCGGTAAACTTGCCGAAGTTGATTAAACTGCGTTTGACGAAACTTCGGCTATTTATCGCCGAGGGCGAGCGATCGGGCGAATAAAAAATTTTACCGGGTCACCGGTTAATCACCGAGAAATTAATTCTGTTAAGGAAACTCGTCATTCTATAAAAACACTATCCATGTAAGCGTATAAAGGCAAATCAAATTCTTCTACACATGTAACATATTCACATTTTCTCGAAATGCTTTAATATTTACCTCCATTCGGCTGTTACGAAACTAAATAGGATGAGAGATAAACGAGTGATAAAATGTACCAAGTCAACTGTGTGGAAATGTCAACACAATATTATTGTCACTAAAAAAAACGGAGAAATTCGATCATTCAAATCTTGTCTCTCATTATCGACTTAAAAAAAAAAAATCACTGTCTACAATTTACATCGTTCACACAAATACATCGCGTTTTTAATGTTATCCTATTTATTCAAACGAAGATTGAAACGTTTCAAAGAATTTTATATGACTTATGTCATATTTGTTACGTCTATTGTAAATCTTATTATTCAAAGAGCGTATCATTATTTTTTTATATATGTATCGTTGTATGTATATCTTGCAATAAATATCACACGCGAAAATAAAATCGCCGCGAGTGCAGGAATCGTGACGCGATAAAGTGCTATCGTGCCGAAGTCCGGTTCGCTTTTTTTTTTTTTCTTTTTTTCGGGAACAACGGTCGCGGAGGTTCGTGTCAGCTGTCGTTACGACGGTAATGAGAGGGGCGCCATAACGTTAACGGGTAAACGCGTACATTCCAGCAATATCATCGCTCCAACTAATTTCTGTCCCTTGGCAAACTTGAGGAATTCGCAGACTGCGCCCGCGGGCGTTTGCGAGAGCGGAAAGAAAGGGATACGCGGGATGGCGCGGGGCCCGGGTCGAGAATTACGACTGACCATTGCCTCTCCCTCCGCTTTTCCCCCGTTTTCGCGATCCCAGACATCCACATCCTCGTCGAACGCACGAGGAGAGAGCCGTACGTACGAGTTTATCGGATACATTTGCGCAATTTGTTGAGTTTTATACAAGGTGGCGTGAAATATTCGGGGGGGAGGGAGGTGAACGACGACGTACGCAATAAGATCTTATTCTCTTCGATAAGTCGTGCGAAATGTCGAACACTCGTGTTTTAAGAGACGGTTTTTTATATAACGTGAAAGTCTCGATATCTATTTTTTGTCATTATATATTGAAATTGCAAACCTTGTAATTATTTGCTCTGGAGATGCAAATTAATTAAAGAACACACGGAAAAATGTCTCAGAAGATACGTAGAAAGTTGATCTACCTCGTGCGACTGTATATATATATATATATATAGTGTCTGAACGCTACATATGTGTCCAAAGTTTATAACAAAATACATCCCTGTCTTTTCCAAGGCACCCCGTATATCATAACACACGTCCACTTTTCGCAAGGCACAAACATACATGGAGATTGCACACGTGCGCGTCCTTTAACCGTGAAAGAAGGGGAACGAGACGAGCCTGAGGGAAGGGTTTGTTTGCCGAGAGAATTTTGCAGCTCGCACACCCGCTGGCGGGTATTACAGTTCGGATTAATTCCCAACAAAAATATTCGAAATATTTTCGCCAGCCGGACGAGACGAACGCGCCGGCGCGCGCGAGCCGCAAAAAAGGGGTGCGAGGAAGCGTTTGTCCGCGACAATTCGTATTTTGCTTTCGGATCGCGCGCGTCAAATTTTCGCGCGGTCGAACGCGCGTTTTGTTTGCGACTCGACACCGCAGAGCCTTCGCAATCGTGTCACCGTCCGAGAGGTCGCCGAGCGATCGCAATTAACCGTTTCCGTCTCGACACTACTCTAACAAGTACGACAAGTAAATTTGAATAGAGAGAGCACAAACATATTGCACAACTCCCTCATGACTTATTAAATAAAGTGTTGCTTTTGATCATAAGTACGCGGAAGAAAAAACAATTGTTCGAACGCGTTTATGATACAGAAAAATCATAATAAATATAATACAGAAATATATGAAAAGAAATGTCAAGTTGTCAGTAAAATTATGAACATCATTTTTTATGTATGAATACAGATACAGAAAAAATATAATACAGACATATATGACAAGGAATGTTAAGTTGTCAGTAAAATTAGAGAATGTCATAAGAATGTCATTTTTTATGTGTGAAATATGAATATAATTTTTTTTACATTATAAAGAAGAAAATAAACAAGGAAAGCGAGGAGAGAGAGTCATGTTTACTTTTATAAAAAATTTAGCTAGTATTTTATGTAGAAATCAAATATCTGTGTGTGTGTGTGTGTGTGTGTGTGTGTACTTAGGTGTTATTTAGTATGCAAAAGTATTAGTCTCAAGCACATGTTACTATATTTTGGAAGGAGCATTGTTCGTGCAGTTGTGACTTCCGCGTCGTCACGCGCGGATATAAATGCGTCAGGATGGAGTAGGAGATAAATGTGTAACTAGAAAATGCGCGAACAACGCAACTTCAGTCCGCTCGCTTTCTGTCTGCGATATATTCATAAGCTTTATGCAGGAAGTCGCTCAAGTGAAATGCCCGTAACTCACGATGCGGCGAGTAATGCGAAAAATATGAGCTAATAGCTACATCGCCCGGTTGTAACGATCTATAAACGTGTACGCGGGCTATGCAAATGGACGCGGAGAGAGCGTGTCGCACCAGACGACGAGCTTTTATAGCTTTTTTTTTTTTTTGCTCGATGCGCGTCGCGCACGTATCATCGCGTTTCGCGTCGTGTCGACACAGAACTCCCAAACGAAATTCCTTTTCTGTGCGAGCCGAGAATAACCGGGTCATTCACGATCCCGAACTGTGTTTCTCCGTTATCGTTTTCTCTTCTGC